TACAAATAACTCATGCTGAATCCTATATGTCTTTTAGAAAAGTACAACTTTAAGGAGGTTCAGTGCTGCAAGTTAAAAGGAATGTTGTTTGAAATTGCCAGATATCAGTTTAAATTCTACAATGAAGATCAGTGTTTTCAAAAGCCGGATGTCAGCCTGGCTAAGTTGGTAACACTCGTACCTTTGGGTCAGAAGTTGTGGGTTCAAACCTGATGCTAGGACTTTAAATTTAGCAGGCTGACACTCCAGTGAAGTCCTGGTTGGGATGTTGGGGGAGGGGGAGTTATGTATTATTGGAGATGCTGTCCTTCGAATGGGATGCTTAACCACAGTTCCATTTGCTGTTCAGGCGAACATTAATGATTCCATGGCACTATCCGAAAAGAAAAAAGAGATTCTCTTGGTATCCTGACCAACAATCCCCCAGTTAAAATTGGTCATTCACTTCAGGAATATTTGTGGGACATTTCTGTACGGAAATTGGCTACCATACTTTCCTACAAAATACACAGTCACCGCTTTTTACAGTAAATCATGTGAAGTGTTTTGAGACATCCTCTTGATGTGAAAGGCACTATATGAAATACCAAAACTACCATTTTCATTTGTAAGGAAATGTAACACATCTGTGTACCCCCAACAAAAAAGTGGGTGTCAATGATAGGGAGAGAGAACCCCAGCTATAAAATTTAGTGAAGGTACAGTACATTACAGTTCCTGCACTTACTAACGTTAAATCGTAAAGCACTGCACGTGCAAAACTACATGGAAACTGCAGATCTGCACAGATCATCCTTTATTCTCAATCAGCCGATATAGTGTACCACCTTGTGGTGGCTTTCTGCCATTGATGGTAAAGACTTTCTTTGCTCTAAGAATGGAGGTTGAGATCATAAGAGCTGATCTTTAATTACAGTATGAACAGATCCATCCATACCTGATTGTTTGCCCTAAGGCGTAGTTGGTTCCAGAATTGAATGAAGCACTGGAGTTATGTTTAAGTCAATACATAATAAGAATAATCCTTGCATTTGATATAGTGTCTTATCAGGTCTTCGAGACGTCTCCAAGCTCTTCACAGAGTATACTGTAAAGTGAATTGACTATATGATTTGTGGGCAAAACCCGGCATGTTTGCATACATATTTGCATCATTGACAGATGTCATTTTGTTTTAATCTACATTTTCTTCAAATAAAACATAGTTATGGAGAATTTATTGTCAAACTGGATCAACCTGGCACAGTGACCCTTTGTTGCCACCAATTTCCTTCATCTTCTCCTCTCCATATGTTCACTCCATGGTGCCATACAGTTCCACAAATCCTGATACTTTCTGTTGTTGTTGTACTGGCTTTTAGAAGCATTTCTGATGAAGCTAGAGAATCATCTGCTTAAAATGTGAAGCAACAACAACAACAACAAGATTCCATTTATACAGCGCCTTTCACGTCGGGAGGACATCCCGAGGCGCTGTACAGTTGGGTCAGGACCCGAGCATTGGGGGTAAATGGTCAGGGTGAGGGGAGGGAAGGGAGGGGGCGAGGAGGGGGTAGAGAGTCGAGAGGGGAGCTGAAGGCACGGTCAAAGAGAAAGGTCTTGAGACCGGCCTTGAAGGAGGAAAGGGAGGAGGCGGCGAAGGCACTGGGGGATAGAGTTCCAGAGCCTAGGGGCTGAGAGGCTGAAGGCCCGGCCACCGATGGTAGGGCGGTTGGGGCGGGGGATGTGGAGCAGACTGGAGCCAGAGGAACGGAGGGTACGGGCAGGTAGGTAGGGGGATAGTAGGTCAGAGAGGTAGGAGGGAGCGAGGCCGTGAATGGCCTTGTAGGTGAGGGTGAGGATCTTGAATTCGATCCTCTGGGGGATGGGGAGCCAGTGGAGGCGAGCGATGGTGGGAGTGATGTGGTCGCGAAGCCTGGTGCGGGACAGTACACGACCTGCAGCTTGTGGAGGGAGGTGCCGGGAAGGCCGGCGAGGAGAGAGTTCCCATAGTCCAGCCTTGAGGTGATAAAGGCGTGGACCAGAGTTTCAGCAGCGTGAGGGGTGAGGTAGTGCCGTAGTCTGGCGATGTTCCGGAGGTGATGGAAGGCGGTGCCAGTTGTGGCGCGGATATGAGGGAGAAAGGACAGCTCAGGGTCGAACAGAACCCGAGGTTCCTGATGGCTTTGAGAGGTGGAGAGTGCAGCCTTGGATGCTGATGCTGTCAGCGCCTGAGGTGCGGAGGCGCTGACGTGAGCCAATCAGGAGGGCCTCAGTTTTGCGCACATTGAGCTGAGAAAGTTATCTCTCGTCCAGGACTCGATGTCGGACAGGCAGCTGTCAGGACATCGGTGGTCGTGGAGTTGAGGGTAGAGGAGGAAAGGTAGAGTTGGGTGTCATCCGCATACATGTGGAAGTTAACCCCATGTCTGCGGATGATGTCACCACAGGGGGAGCATATAGAGGGTGAAGAGGAGGGGACCGAGGACAGAGCCTTGAGGGACACCGCACGAGACAGTGCGGGGCCGGAGGAAAAAACATTTGTGGAGACAAAGTGAAGACGGTGGGAGAGGTACGACCTAAACCACTCAAGGACAGGGCCTTGAAGGTTGAGGTGGGAGGACAAGCGGTGGAGGAGGATAGCGTGGTCGACCGTATCGAATGCTGCCGATAGGTCGAGGAGGACGAGGAGGCAGAGGGAGCCCTGGTCACAGATGGTCAGGATGTCATTGGTGACCTTGACCAGGGCAGTTTCTGTGCTATGGGCAGCACGGAAACCCGATTGAAGGGGTTCGAATAATGAATGGGTGGAGAGGAAAGAGCGCAGCTGGGAGGCGACAACTCGTTCCAGGACCTTGGACAGGAAGGGGAGGTTGGAGATGGGCCGGTAGCTTGATAGCTGCGATGCATCAAGGGAGGGTTTTTTAAGGTGGGAGTGATGGTGGCAGTTTTTAAGGGAATGGGAATAGAGCCAGAGGAGAGGGACAGGTTGACGATGTCTGTGATATGTGGGACAAGGAGGTGGAGCTGGGAGATAAGGAGTGGAGTGGGGATGGGGTCAAGGGAGCAGGTGGTGGGTTTCAGGGAGAGGATGAGTTTGGTGACAGAGGGTAGGGAAACGGGTACGAAGGTGTGTAGGGGAGGATGGGTAGGAGTCGGAGTGTGGGAGGGAAGGGGTGGGTGGTGGGTGGATGTTGGAGGGGAAGTGACCGCGGAGCGGATTCCCTTGATCTTGGATTCAAGGAAATCCAGCATCTCCTCGCAGTGAAGGTTGGAGGAGATGACCTGCGCGGGGTGGCGGGGGGGACGGAGGAGTTGGGATGTGGTAGAGCAGCTACTGAGGGCACTTGATCAGCTGAAGGCAGACACAAAACTAGTAACTGTTGCCTTTCAGCATCTCAGCCAAGTGTCTGTTCATGAGTGAGCTTTGGCAGTGAGTTCAGCAGGCTATCAAATTGGGAGAGTATCACACCTAGGCTTCATCCTGTGTGTTTGTGTGCGTGTGTGTGTGAATGGGGTGAATTTAGGTATAGGGGCACGGTATCTAAATTTCTTGATACTAAATTTAAGGAGTTGACAAACTGTTAGGATTAAAGCACAAGACCAATCGCAGAGATAGACAGTTTGGGGGAGTGGGCACATAGCTGACAGATGACATTCAATGTAGAATGTTGCAAAGTAGTACATTTTGTCGGTGGGAAAAATGAAGGAAATACTTCTAATAGTAATATTTCTTATGAAGTATCTCAATTCTATATTGTTAGTATGCATTATAATAAAGCATATCATCTTTAATGTACAAAACAGGTTGTCCACAATTGGTTCCAGTGCATAAAACTAAGGAATTGAATTCTTAATTGTATTTTATTGTAAGAAGATTTTATGTGGAGTCCTGTAGCTCAGTGGTTAGAGCACTCGCTTTGCAAGCGAGAGACCTGAGTTCAATTCCAGACAGGGCGAAACCTTGGGCAAGTTTCCTTACTCCACACGCCTAATAATAATCCCTCCAAAAAACCAAAAACAATAATTAAATTGGTCATTTTCAATCTACGACTGTTTGTGGGACATTGCTGTGCGCAATTGGCTGCCGCGTTCGCCCACAAATATACAGTCAATTCACTTTACAGTGTGTTCTGTGAAGCGCTTTGGGACGTCCTCCTGACGTGAAAAGCGCTATATCAAATGGAAGGATTATTATTATTATGTGAATATTCAGACTAGAATCTATTGAAAAAAAATTCTCTTCCTCAACGACAATTCTTTTACATTTGAATCTCAAAACTTCTGTTGAACGAACCACTAGAGGGCTCCAATGTAAGTGTGCAATGGTCAAGTGCCTTAAATGTACTGTTTAAAATCCAATAAAATAAGCTTAAAAAATATAGAAAATGTATTTCAAATGTGTTCTCTCGGCTTCAATTTATACGTTTGAAAGAAATATTGCCTCAGTCCGTTCTTGTTGTTTGAACAACTATTTTTTATTTTAATTCAACACATCTCAGCAGAGTTTTAAATATCTAATTGTAATTGAATTAATAAGTATTTATATACAGTTGTACGATGCACATGCACTTATAACAGAGCTTCTGCGATACACTTGTTTTATAATAACTACCTGTGCTGCAAAATGGATTTGCATCATATTGTCAATGCGGGAATGTAAACTTTGAAATAACACACAATGCAGATCTTCAATACTGATGTCGCAAAAAAGTTCTGATCGAATTCATGTTTAGTTTCTTTCTTTAAAAAAACCTTCTCTGAAAACCCATGCATCATTTATAAAGTAGGCAGTGGCTTTAATACGGGTTAATTGGCTCCCTGGTTGTTACAGCGTAAGCATTAGACTTGCAAATTGACCGTTATCCTTGTGCTGAAAGCTGCTCTTTGCCAGTCTTTAAATTGCTCCATTCTCATTGTCCAGAGTTCAAACTTCAGCTTATAAAAGGATATTGAAACACGGGAGTGAGTGCCAGCCAGAAGAGAGAATCGTTTTGCTTGTGTGGTTTTAAGGTAACGCAATGGAAAAGCTTCCTATTCAGGTCTATCATCACCAGTATAACCCCAACAGCACCAATGAATTTGTCCACTTCGCTGGAGGGACCCAAGATGTCGATTCGAGGGAGCTGAGAATTGTGATGCTGATGACTTTAGGAGTGATCTGTGTGGTAGGTTTCTCTGGGAATCTCTTGGTGATAACCGTTCTGATTAACAATGCGAGAAAGGGCAAAACTTCGATGATAAACTCTTTGATTTTGAACCTGAGCATGGCGGATTTGCTGATCATGCTGTTCTGTGTCCCGTTCAGAGCTGTCGCCTATTCTAAGCCCTCCTGGGCTCTTGGCTGGTTTATTTGCAAAACGGCAGATTGGTTTCTGCAATGCTGTTTGGCTGTGAAGAGTTTTACAGTGGCTGTGTTGGCCAAAGCTTGCTTCATGTACGTGACACATCCATCCAAACAGGTCCAAATTAAGCATCACAGAATCATGGCTCTCATCACTTCCATATGGGGAATAGCGTTCATTCTCCCCATCCCTGACTGGCTCTATGCTACTGTCAAGTACGAGACGGATAAAGTTCTGTGTGTTTTTGAAATCCCAACGTATGCATCTGATGTTATGGCAGTTTTTGCAAAGGTCTACCCCAGCCTGGTTTACTGCCTCCCCATGAGCTTCGCATTTGTTTATCACTGGAAAGCTTTCAGGAGATGCAAACGTCGAGGGACTAAAACCCAAACCTTAAGGAATCAGATCAGAGGCAGGCGCCTGACTGTGATGCTTTTCAGTGTCAGTCTGACCTTTGCTGCCATGTGGGCTCCAGAGTGGGTCGCTTGGGTTTGGATGAGACACATTCAGAAGAACGGCTCAGCTCCTCCTCTCTCATTCACCCTGATGGCTCAAATGCTGGTCTTTACAATTTCTTCAGTCAACCCTCTCATCTTTGTTGCCATATCCGAGGAGTTTAGAGAAGGTTTCAAGGGCCTGTGGAAGAGAATGATTTCCAGGAAGTCTCAAAGAGCACCAGATGTTCCAGGTGCCCAATCCCAGACTAACCCTGAAAGTGTTCCACCAGATCCCGCACCGTCTCACGAGATAGAACCTGTCTGGGTCCGGGACCAAGAGGCTCCAACTAAGGAACCATCAGACAGCCCATCAAGTAAAACCGGTAATATCGTCCTGTCAGACATGGAACAGTTTTGGCATGATAGACAGAATACACCAGGCTGCACAGAAGATGACCCAATCCCTTGGGAACATCAGAAAGATTCAGAATTGCCCCAGCACATGGAGGCCACTGGAACAATCTAACTGTCGAAGAAGGGTTAGTAACTATTTGAAAAAAAAGCAAAATAAAATTAGATTAATAATAATAATAATCCTTGCATTTGATGTAGCGCCTTATCACGTTAAGACGCCTCACAGCTCTTTACAGAATATACTGTGAAGTGGAGTCACTATGTATTTTGTGAGCGAAACTGTAGTTAATTTGTGGATCAATTGAGTTAACATTACATTTGACAATTTCGTTCACAATAACAATTTATTTGGCTGTCTAACATTTGTTTGTAATGTATACAAAGTAGTAAACCCAAAAGCCTTTTGCAAATGCGTACTGAAAAATTAGAAGTCAAACAATTAAGTATCTGCATCTGTTAAGATTCTGATTTTGTGCAGTCTTTGCTGTGTAGTGTATATTCCTCTTCTGCATTTTCACGTTTGTCAATTTTATATAAGAGCAGAGAGATGTGTTTCTCTTCAAGGTTGCCTTGATTGACAATTCTTCACTTTTAAGATTGAACGTAAAGTGGATAATGAAGAAATCTTTAGCTCGCATGCGCCAAGATCGTAAGGTAAAATGTGTGCCCGTAACACATTTGTAACAGTTGTGTATTTGGCAGATAAAATAGTTTAATACTGTGATGGTTGTGGCTTTTCATGTACATCAGTAAATAGTTTATTTTGTATTTCTTTAATTTTTTTTCTAAGTATCCAATTTGAATACAATCCATTTGTCATTCTGGTCAATACCCAGAAAAATCTAGCAATCTAATCTTCCCCCTGTACCTTAGACATCTTGATGTATTTTGTGAAAGTGGTATGTGTAAATCTAATAAAACGGAGACCTGTATCAGCAGTGAGTCTGAATTCCAAGGTTGTCTGTGCATTGTCAATCTACAAATGTTGGCTTGTCGAGACTTAATGTGACTGAATAAGGTATTAAGTGATGTTTAACTGATCTGTGTTTGTTTATGACAGTCTTATCAAACGTTACTTGTTTGATGTCCTGGTATGAAAATAAAATATTCTAAACCTTTGTGTATGGAGAATAATGCTTCTTTGAAAACCTCAAGCTACATTCTCAAATAAAAAATATCAGCAATTACACACCTAAAACATTAGTGTTCTGGATATGAACATGTACATCTACTGAATTTGACGAGCAATTGTTACATTATCCTTCACTTGAAAGGAATTAAACTTTTACGAACAATAAAACCCAATGTCTCAATGTTGTGGAGCACATTATTAGTCAGAGTAATTGTTTGAGTAATTATGATGGAATAATTTATCTGAACACCTGAACCTCTCACCATGTTTTAAGTAACATGGCTTTGTGATTTTGTCAGTGGGAAAATTAAAATTTTTCAGCATTTCATGTGAAAATTATCACATGAAACGTGTTAGCAAATGGCACTAATTTTAGCCCAATGTTTGCCTATAAAAATTGTTACTACACTTTATGGTAAAATCAACAACAACAACTTGGATTTATATAGCGCCCTCCACACCGGACGGCGTCTCAGAGCGCTTCACAGTTTAGGATCCCGGGACTGAGCCAGGGGGAGGGAGAGGAAGGTGACTAAAGGTGCGGTCAAAAAGAGACCTGAAAATGGGAAGAGAGGGGATGAGGCGAAGGGAGTGAGGAAGGCAGTTCCAGAGCCTCGGGGCGTAGTGGCTGAAGGCACGGCCGCCGTGGGTGGAGTGGAGGACTCGGGGGACAAGGAGGAGGCCAGACCTGGAGGAACGAAGACAACGGGTACTGTGCTGAGGAGAGAGGAGGTCAGAGAGTTCGGGGAGTTGCAGAGGAGTGCAGGGACTTGAATACGAGGGTGAGGATCTTGAAATCGATCCTCTCTGGGATAGGCAGCCAGTGCAGTCTGGCCAGGACTGGGGTGATCGGGGAGCGGAGTTTGGTGCGGGTGAGAATGTGGGCGGCAGAGTTCTGAATGAGTTGGATTTTATGGATGGTAGTGGATGGGAGATCAGCGAGGAGAGCGTTAGAATAGTCCAGCCGAGAGGTGACAAAGGCACGGACCAGAGTTTCAGCGGCTTTTGGGGAGAGGTATTTGCGGAGACGGTCGATGCGTCGGAGGTGGAAGAAGGCGGTGCTGGTGAGGGACCGGATGTGGGGGAGGAAGGATAATTGGGGGTTGAACCTGACACCTAGGTTGCGTACGGGTTCGGAAAGTTTTAGGGGGAGGTCGGGTAGGTGGAGGAGGTGAGAACCGTTAGAATTTAGACGTTGAAGAGAGCCGAAGAGTATGAGACGTTGACGAGAGCCGAAGAGTATGAAGTGCTTCTCCCATGAGAAAGCACTCTATCAAATAGAAGTATTAAGTAGGAGGAAGAATGTGGAGTCGTGTAACTCAGTGATTAAAGCACTTGCCTCGCAAGCGAGAAGACCTGGGTTTGATTCCCGGGCAGGGTGAAATGTTGGGCAAGTTTCCTTACTCCACACGCCTCTGTTCACCAGTAAATAGGAACCCGGTTGTAGCCGGTTGGCTGAATGAATTTTCCGGGGGTAATAATCCCTTCAAAATAAATGAATAATAATAATTTGGTCACTCAATCCACAACTGTTTGTGCGACACTGCTGTGTGCAATTTGCTGCTGCATTTCCCCCACAAAATGTACACTCAATTCACTTTACAGTTGAGGTATATTACAATGAACATGCAACTGGTTGACCGGAAGAACCCAGAGGGTGTTGGTGCAGGGAATGACATCAGACTTGGAAAATATTACCAGTGGAGTTCCACAAGGGTTTGTTTTGGGACTTTTGTTAATATTTTTATAAATAATCTGGAACTAGGAGTCGCAAGCACAGTGGCTAAACTTGCAGATGAACTTGCTAATTAAGATGGTAGATTGCGAAGCTGAACAAGATAGGTTACAGGAGGATTTGAACATACTTGGGAATTGGGCAGATCAGTGGCAGATGAAAATCAATGTGGACAAATGTAAAGTACTTCACATGGGGGGCAAAAGATTCTGGGACTATTATTTGAATGAAAGGAAAATAAAATGTATGGAAAATTAAATGATTGCCAATAAATTAAGGCTCTCCCAACAATGCTCTGTGGCAGTGAGTAAATCAAACCAATTGTTGGGATGGATCAAAAGATCAATAGTAAGCCAAAATAGTGGGGTCATCCTGCCATAAATCATTGGTGAGACCATAATTAGTACCGCTTAGTTCTGGTTGTCACAGTACAAAAAGGATATTGGAAAAATCAAGATGATGCAGAGGAGGGCAACTAAAATGATTTTTAGGAGGGAATGGAAGGACTGGACTATGAGGAGCCACTAAGTAAATTGGGCATGTTCACACTGGAAAAGAGAAGATTGAGAGGCGACATGATTGCTGTCTTTAAGATTCTAAAGGGGCAAAACAATATAAATCATGACAGGCTGTTTCAACTTGTCAAGAATAGTAAAACCAGAGGACACGGCCTGCAATTGAAGGGGGGGTAAATTCAGAACGAATCGAAGGAAACACTATTTCAGTGAGTGAATAGTGAACCTGTTGAAAAGGCTCCCTAGGGAGACGGTTGAAGCAGGAAGTGTTGATTCTTAGAAATACAGTTTCCTTCTAGGAAATAACATTATGGGATTTAGTACATAGGTAGTTAAGGACTTACGTGCAAGCGACCGCCAGGAAGGCAAACCAGATGGACCTTGGTCTTTTTACGTCTAGCATTTATGTTCTGTGAAGCACTTTAAGATGTCTCGAAGACATGATAAGCACTATACCGAAGTGCTCGGGGACGCTACTGCACATGAAGGGTGCTATGTAAATGCATGTTGTTGTTGTACATCAAATGCAAGGATTATTATGATTATTAATAGAGATAAAAGGAGCACTGAGTATTAGACGTATTCGATAGTGGTCTCCAAGTATCATTGTAAAGTGTAATGACTGACTGTATATTTGTAGGTGAAAGCAGCACATAGCAATGTCCCACAAATAACATCCCCCATGAAGTGGGTTACCAATTTTATCTGGAGAGTGGTAGTCACTTTTCTAACAGTGTGTGGGATCTTCAATCTGTCCACCTGAACAGGCAGACAGAACGGTTTAATGGCACCTCCAACAACAAAGCATTGGAGTGTCAGCCCAGACAATTCCTGCAGTCAGTTGCATGAAGCACTTTGAGCTAACAAAGACTTGAAAGGCATCATTGTAAATGGTTATCAACCATGACCACCTCAAAACTCGTCAGAATTGACTAAAGCTTCACAAATCCATGTTCAATCTGATCAACTAGTCTTTTTCCAAGTGTTCAGTTATTCCTTACCTGTTGATACAGCATAGATTAAGTCATCGGGAGAAAAGAACTCCAAATCTCTAAATGGAACGATTTTTTTTGTTAAAATTCTAAATTACTTTTCCTGAAATTCTAAAATAGTAGGAAAAAATTGTTGGAGCAAAATATCAATAAATGCTTGTACACAGTGCAGAACAAGGAAACGCTTTGAAAGTTAATAAGCTTCTTAGAGGAAGTGTGGTATAGGACAGGATGCAGGATTTATTAAGAAACAACTCCAATCTGTAAATATGTCAGGGGTTGATATTTCTGGAATGATGAGATCAGATGGAGTAAATTTCTTGTGACATTTTCTCAAACATTCGGAACTTGGACCAGGATGGTCAAGTTTAAGGCATTTGAGTGAAGATCTATCCTTTACCTTTCATAAGTACCATCCTTCATAGACATTAAAGCAAAGTCCTATGATACAATTCAAAAAGAGAAGGTGGTGTCCTGGCTACACAGAAAAATGGTCATTCACTTCAAAGCTGTTTGTGACACTGTATAGGCAGTACAATATATCAAATGGAAGGATTATGATAACTTCCTACCCAAAAGATTAAGTGGAAAACTTTCTCAAATAAGTTGCATGGAAAGTTATTACAACGTCATCTGAAATGAAAAATGCACATGTACAATTTATAGAAAAAAAATGGGTTTATTGCAGTAAACATTTCATCTAGGCAACATTTCCAACATCTTATTTAATAAAGTCACTTTGGAAACTTACATTTAAACACAAGTAAAAGCTTAAATGTTACAAACAAACCCCTTTCTGAGATCAGTGACTGACTTGGAAAATTATTGGTAACACTAGTTTTTACAGAGTTGCTGTTGCACAGCCATTGGATTGTACTAATGACCAAACCACACTTACTACATCAGCTGTACTTCTGTACGTCTGTACTTTTACACAACTGAATGATGAGTCAAAGCTTCCACTTCAACAGGACAACAAGCTGGTACAAATGTGTCCATATTATATACAAAACTGGACAAAGCAGACACATTAATACTGCACACGTTGATAAGTCTGGCAGATGGCTCATGCACAAGTCTCAGTTGAAGGACAGCCTGCTCATGCTCTGCATGTTGGTGTTACTTAAGAGAGCGTCTGGTGGGCTCTGATGCGGTTGGAGGTGGAGGTGGGCCTCGCCGATCCAGATCATCAATGTAGGCCATAATGAGTTTACGTCTCTCCTCTGGTACGCACTCCAATACCAGGTAACGCTTGTCATTCTGCAGGATCCTTTCAATGTCTTTCAGGTGCTGATCTGACTCGTGCAGTAACTTTTTTGACCTGGGGAAAAAAAAATACATTTTGAGTTGAAGCAGGGAATTTATGCCCTTTAGATATGCATGCACAATTAATCTCATTTCATGACACCCTTTCTCATTTCATCACAAATATTCCCTCAAACTGAATCTTATTCTGCGGCAGTCATAATGAAAGCACACACACACGCACGCATACCAAATAACTGAATTTGGCAGATAATCTATCGTGCCTAAAGTTAGTTCTTGATTGCTTGATGGAACAGAAATACTCTAGAATTCTGAACTACAGTAAAATCTTGTTATAAAAGAGAAGGTGATGTCTAACCACCTTAACGGGGCAATGGCTGGTCAGCCAGAGCTCCTGCATTCACTGTGCACATTCACAGAAAGCAGGTTGGCTTCCCCGGCATCAAATGGTTTCCTACGCTTAAAAAAAAGACAAGGTTTGGGTCATTGGGTCAACCTCAAAGTATCCTCCTGCGTGCTGGGTTGTAACTGGGTTCTACTGTACAATTTATTTTGCATGTGTAAAAAATAATTATCTCTGAATCATTTAGAAGGGGTAACAGAAATAAGTTGCAAACTTATGATGACACTCGCTCATCTCCAATCCATAAGTCAAAATGTCAGCTCATGACAGAATCTAGAAATGCACCCAAATCAAGAGATACACATGCAAGTTTGGCAAGTTTTACTCAACCATATGTCAACCAATTCATTCAGGGGCACTGGACAGGTGATAGCTTCAAGTGCTACTTTTTACACAGTACATACACACATTGTGAAACCTTCAAAGACCAGATTCATCTAATACTGGTGGTTATTAAATGCAAACCTGACAAATGATTTGTTTTCAAGACAGTGGGTGCCAGCAAACACTACTTACCTGTAAGTGATAAATTTGGTCTCTTTCAGCAGTGTCCTGAAGTCTACTTTGGCAGTGATGTACTTATCTCGAATGTATTCCTCAAATTCTCTCTGCTTTTTCTGAAGTTTAAAATAAAACACAAGCAAACATTATTCCAGGATAAACTTTTTTGGGGCTGAAAGAACTGGATATTTTCTGTGTTTGGCTGAAAATAACTTTACCCTGTCACTGGAAGAGAACTTAATGCAGCGAGGATCTTCTTTGATGACCTTCTTCACTTCTTTCCAGGTGGAAGTAAGTGTAATCTACAAAAGAATAAGTGTTCTTAACCAGCAGAGCAGCAAAGTTTTTGGTATTGGACTTCACATTACAAACTAACTTCAGTACTACAAACATTTAATAAGCTCTTAAGGACCATTTTTACCCATTTTTCACAAAATAGAATTAAATTGTTTAATAAAATTCTCCTTAATTTGATTTATAAATTGATTTAAGACAGACTGTAAGAGGTTTTATAAATATATAAAGAGGAAAAGGCTGACAAAGGTAAATGTAAGTCCGCTAATAATAATCCTTGCATTTGATATACCGCTTTTCACGTCGGGAGGACGTCCCAAAGCGCTTCACAGAACACACTGTAAAGTGAATTGACTGTATATTTGTGGGTGAACGTGGCAGCCAATTGTGCACAGCAATGTCCCACAAACAGTCGTAGATTGAAAATGACCAATTTATTATTGTTTTTGGTTTTGGAGGGATTATTATTAGGTGCGTGGAGTAAGGAAACTTGCCCAAGGTTTCGCCCTGCCTGGAATTGAACTCAGGTCTCTCGCTTGCAAAGCGAGTGCTCTAACCACGGAGCTACAGGACTCCACGCTACAGGCAGAGACGGGGGGAATTATAGTAGGGGACAAAGACATGGCAGGATCATTAAACAACTACTTTGCTACTGTCTTCACCTTAGAAGACACTGAAAACCTACCAAGAATAGAGGGGAACCAAGAAGAAAATGTTAGCGAGCAACTTGGGGAAATTAATATTAGTAAAGAAAAGGTTTTAGGTAAATTATCAGGTCTTAAAACTGATAAATCTCCTGGACCTGATGGCCTACATCCTAGGGTTTTAAAAGAGGTGGCTACTGAGATAGTGGATGACTTGTCTTTGATCTTCCCAAATTCTCTGGATTCTGGAACGGTTCCCATTGATTGGAAGATTGCAAACGTAACACCACTATTTAAGAACGGTGGGAGAGAAAAGATGGGGAACTATAGACCAGTTAGTCTGACATCAGTGGTAGGGAAAATTCTTGAGTCCTTAATTAAAGATGTCGTTATGGGATTCCTGGAAGACCATAACAAGATTAGGCAGAGTCAACATGGCTTTACAAAAGGGAAGTCATGCTTAACTAATCTTTTAGAGTTTTTTTGAAGATGTATCTGCAGGTTAGAAAGGGGGGAACCAGTATATGTAGTATATTTAGATTTTAAAAAGGCATTTGACAAAGTGCCACAAAAGAAGGTTATTGCACAAGGTTAAGGCCCACAGGATTAATGGGAACATATTAGCATGGATTGAAGAGCGGCTAACGGGTAGAAAACAGAGAGTAGGGATAAATGGGTCATTCTCGAATTGACAGGATGTGACTAGTGGAGTGCCACAAGAATCAGTGCTCGGGCCTCAGCTATTTACAATTTACATCAATGATTTAGACGAGGACATTGAATGTAACGTATCTAAATTCGCGGATGACACTAAACTGGGTGGGAGAGTAAGCTCTGAGGATGATGCAAAAAATTGCAACGGGATATAGATAGGCTCGGGGAGTGGGCGAGTAGGTGGCAGATGGAATTTAATGTGGGGAAGTGTGAAATTATTCACTTAGGTAGTAAAAATAGAAAAACAGATTATTTTCTAGAGGGGGAGAGATTAGATAGTGTTAATGTTCAGAGGGATTTGGGTGTCCTTGTACATCAGTCTCAAAAAGTTAGTTTGCAGGTGCAGCAAGCAACTAAAAAGGCGAACGGCATGTTAGCGTTCATTGCAAAAGGTTCAGAGTACAAGAGTAGGGAAGTCTTGCTGCAACTGTATAGGGCCTTGGTGAGACCGCACCTAGAGTATTGTGTGCAGTTTTGGTCTCCTTATTTAAAGGACATACTTGCCCTAGAGGGGGTGCAGCGTAGATTCACTCGGTTAGTTCCTGGGATGAGGAGACTGACCTTTGAGGATAGGCTGAATAAACTAGGGCTGTATTCTCTAGAGTACAGAAGAATTAGGGGAGATCTTATTGAAACATATAAGATTCTTAAAGGACTGGATAAAGCAGACACTGAGGGTCTGTTTCCCCTGGTAGGAGAATTTATAACCAAGGGTCACAGTCTTAAAATTAAGGGTCAGCCTTTTAGAACAGAGTTGAGGAAACATTTCTTCACTCAGAGGGTAGTGAATTTATGGAATTCACTGCCCCAGAAGGCTGCAGATGCTCAGTCCTTGAACATCTTCAAGGCTGAGACTGATAGATTTTTTAAAAAATAGAGGGATTAGGGGATATGGGGATAGGGCAGGTAATTAGAGTTAGGTCTGAAGATCAGCGATGACCTTATCGAATGGTAGGGCAGGCTCGAGGGGCCGAATGGCCTACTCCTGCTCCTAATTCTTATGTTCTTAACAGATTTATTTATGGCAATTTGTGTCAGTGCAGGTGTATCAATTTCTTGAGATCAATGTGAATTCAGTTGTGCGCATATGAGAGGGTTACATCTACAGTAACTTCATGCCTGTCCACAACTTTTATGAAGAGACCTGGGTTCAATTCTCAGCAGGGCAAAATGTTGGGCAAGTTTCCTTACTTCACATGCCTCTGTTTACCTAGCAGTAAGTAGGAACCCTATTGTTAGTCGATTGTTAGATCCGGGGGTAATAATCCCTTCAAAAAAACAATAATAAATTGGTCATTTCAATCCACGACTGTTTGTGGGACACTGCTCTGCGTAATTGGCTGCCACGTGTTGCCCACAAAATATGCAGTCAATTCAATTTACACTATTTTCTGTGAAACACTATGGGACGTCTCGAAGACGTGACAAGGCGCTATACCAAACCTATTAAGTTTTAAAGGTGTAAAAAGTCTAATACTTTTAAATACAGCGTAGTTACCAAGAACGAAGAAAGGGCTAGAAACTTAAAAATACAGAGACAGACTCTTATAGGGGAGAGAGGGGCAGTGAGAGATCGGGGTGGGGGAGGACAAGTAGGTAAAGAAACATTGTCATCGAATTTACCCAGCTTTTTTCTAAGTCACATGTGTTCCCCAATTTTCTTCTATTTTTGACATCAAAAATAGGACCGCAAAAAATCTTTAAAATTTATGTTGTGGATAAACTACTTTAATGGTTCTTATGAACACTGTTGTATATTTTTCAAATCTGCTTTACATTCCTCCAATTTTAAAAGCTGATCATTTTTCACACACCCATTCAGCTACTCTATAGGTTTCCAATACAACAACAACTTGCATTTATTTAGTGCCCCTCACGCAGGGTAGCGCCCCAGAGCACAACTATTTGGAAGATAGGAGCAGATCTTTGGAAAGAAATTATTCCTTTCAGCCTCAAACAATGAAACTTAAACCAACATGGTGGAAACATACAATCTGAATGCTACCTAATCTAATAACAGCCATGTAAATGATGTTGAACAAGCCTATAAATAAAATAATTTTCCATGAAGATGGGAAAGGTCTGGGTTTGATCACAACTTGTGCAGATCTAGCTGATCTGTGATGCTGAAATGATGGGTCTCCACAGACAATACATAATAAAGCTGTCTCCACAACAGGTTTTGTAATTTACGCAATGAGCAGTCTCCTAGCCACTGAATCACACATTTATAAATGCACCTTTGTTTCCCATGGACAACGGATACTGTGAAAGGCATTTTTGCAGCAACCTTGAAATGTGCCTATTTTACAGAAAGAACACAAAGGAAAGATTTACAGCTATCAACTGGGGATTCTCACCGCTGAGGTCTCATCCAGAAGTTGCCTGAAATGTTCCCTCTTCTTCTTTGTAAGGGCCTCTATGTGCTCACTGAACAGTTTTTCCTTCTCTTCTCGTTCCAGTAATGATGCAGACTCCCAGCGGTGATCCTTACGCAGGGTTCTTCTGGTATCTGACCATGTCACATCGGAAGAACGGACCTGAAGGTTACAAGACCAAAGAAATATAAATACTTTTGGTAGAGAAATCTTCTAAACTCTGTACAAGTAATTCCCAATTACTCAGTCACTTCATTTTACTTCTGAATTTCCAACATTTGCGATTAAATCTAAGTTAACTGTTTATTTCTAAACCATCCCCTTTGATCAAGTCATTCATTTAGGTTCCTGCCCAAAACACCAATTTCTAACAAAAATCAGCTTAATGTAAATTCTAAAAGTACATTTTCTGATGCAGACAAATAATTGAACCTAACACTGCATATTTTTTTTAAAAAATGATTCTAAGTCTACTTTAAGGTCTGTTCTTTAGATGCTGCAACTATTTTCTATCTTTTTCTTTGCTTCTGCAAAAGCTTTTAACCAAGCAGTTAGCCTGGTACTGTTAGCACTCTCATCTCAAGAATCAGGGTTTGTAGGTCCCATCCTTCAAATGAGATGTTAACCCGAGGTCCCATTTGCCTCCTCATGCGGATGTTGAACATCCATGACACTATTCAAATAGAAGGAAGTTTCTCCTAATATCCAGGCCAACAGTCCCCAAAATAAAATTAATCATTCACTTTATGGCTGCTTTGCTATGCGCAAATTGGCTGCCACGTTTGCCTACAAAACACACAGTCAAAACACTTTAAGAGTACAATCCTGTCAAGCACTGACATGTCCTCCTCACGTGAAATGCACAACACAACTGCATAAATTCAAGTAAGCAGTAATGATTTCAACATAACGTGCTCAACAAATAAAATGCAAATTTAACTTGATTTCCGAAATTAAGAAATCAACAATATATCTACTGACAGCAAATACCCAATGACAATTCTTACAAATATTAAATATCAATAGAAAATCACTGCAGCTGGGGAAATACTAAAAATAAACTAATCCAATAAGCTGCAGGATAATACAGTACTACCATAAATTTCTATTGTCAGGTACTTTTCATATTAAAAACTCACACATAAATTTACTCTATATCAATAAACACGAGTGTCCATTGGCAAAAACACATCTAGTGTCATGGAGATTAATTACCATATCAGATAACAAGGCTTTGAAATTCTGGATGGCCTCCTCTCGCTTGTGCTGCTCACGCTCCCTATCGATTTCCTTTGTCTGCTCTGAGCGAGCTTTCTGAACTTCTCTCTCACGCTCTCGCAAGCTTGCCTCTATTCGTGCTTGGCGTTCCAGCTCCTTTTCCTTATCAGAGTCTACGTGCTGCCAAAAAAAAATCAATGGAATTATAAAATGACTTTAAACAGGTTCTCTTGTTTCATACAGGATATTTTGCCAGAGATGCAATGTTATACCTATGATGTTACCAGCACTTCTTCCAACACTTGGATGATTTAATTGAAGCAGTATTAAAGGCCATTTGTAGAGTGACTGCAGATCTCAAACTAATGCCACTTCTGTCAATCAGTGGATTAAATTTTGAACTAGAGGCTTCTTAAAAGGCCCCAAAAGATTACAGACAAGTTTCACTTAAAGAATAGCAGTATTATAATTCCTCCTTCTTCCTCCAGGTTTTGCAGCGTGCAATATGCTGTATTATAATTCATATTATAATATGCATATTATAATATGCAGTATTATAATTCCTCCTTCTTCCTCCAAGTTTTACAGCGTGCAATATGCTGGGAATCTGTCAAGTGTGCAGCACTGTTCTGAACTGGAATCTACCACATTCCCAAATGACAATGCTTGTTCACCCACTTAAAGAATTCAATACCACGGGTCAGTAAAAAGACACACGTCTTCAGTAATTGACAGCTTACCTTGGCCAGTCTTTCTATGTACTGCTTGAAGAAATCCTCCCTCAGCCCAGAACTATCCACAACTTTGTAGCGTGAGTCACTCTCAAATTTCTCTTTCACTTTACTCCAGCGAGACTGAATGTCCAGGTGGTGATCGGATAGCATGTCGAAGAAGTCACCTCTCATCTGATCAGTATTGATTAGAGAATGAAAGTTAAGGAGGAGAAATGCCATGTAACTATGAGTCAGAAAGCAGCTTTGTTATTATAAATTTTAGTTACCACTGCACTGACCAATTACTCACCTCACAGTGAAGGAAAGTGAAACTACACTCCCTGACCACGGAAACTATTACACTACACTTAACAAAAATACTAACACGAAGAACAAATAGCTAAGGTTTACATAAACTGAGAAATTTTTACTAAATATAAAAACAACTTATGTAAACTTGTCAGTTTAAGATGAAAAACATAATATGTGTGTTATGGACTCATTTTACTTCTTCCACATCATTGTTTTAAATCCCCCAATTTCTCTCCTGCTCTATCTCTCCATCCCTTTCTGTAGCCATTTGATGCCACAGCTGAATGAGCTTGAACCAAGGGTTACCTGCCTCCATGGCTCTAGCCCATGTTGTTCTGGGATCAGGAGTTGGGATGTGCAGCAAGTCAAGCCACGTTAGTCCTTATCACCCTAAGACTGAAGGATCTTGGGTTATGGAGAAACCAAACACCAAAGCTCATTCTCCACAATGCCAGAAGGACAGGCTTGAGCACCAAGCTGCCCCAGGGCTCAAACCAGTGACCATCTGGATAGGAGACAGATATTTTACCACCTATATGGCTGTCTATTTCTTAAATTAAATTGCCAATCAAATCACCCGTAAAAATATTACAGTTAACCAATTATAAATGAAATATTAATTCTTGTTCCTGGCCTAAGTGCTTTGGGACGTCTAGAAGACGTGAAAAGCGCTATATCAAATGCAAGGATTATTATTAAGGCGTGATTCTTTTGCTGTAACCAAAAAAAATTTAAATCACAACTGCTAGAAATGGAAATGCATTTTTTTATAGTTTCTATGATTAAAAGTGACATGAAGCAGTGTGACAAACATTTACAGCTATTCCTTAAATACTACAAAAATTATGGGTGATTTTAAGGTAATAATCATGATTTCTTTAATCCAATATTAAATGGACATAACCCTGCTTTAGCCCATTACACATATTTGGGGACTATATGAAACTACAAGTGAATGTATCACTCAATGCTATCACTAATATCAGTTGTTTCAATTATGCGTGCATTAGTAAACAAATGTGCGAAGCTTGCTAAATCTACAGAGAAGTTGCCTTAGATGTCAACTCAAACATTTTCTTCGGTTTAATTTGAGGAATCTCATTCCGTAAATATATTTAACCATTTTTACAGATGCTTACGAGGTTAACTTTTTTTTTAAAAAAGGCTTCAAAGCTCCTCCCAGTTATCATCAATGTACATTTTGGGGAAAACTCAATTCTGTTCTTAAAAGCTCAGTTTTCATCTCACGTTTCACCCGCGAGAGTGAATGGGAACAATTGTACACACCAAGCAAGCACAGCTAGTGGTATACTGTCAATTGCAAATTGTCAAAGTCTACATACAGTTCAATATAATTTAAATGCAATTCTGGTAAATTTTATACTCAGAATGAAACACTATTCATACTCAGGTATTGAACATTTCTATATCAAATGTATTTACCTTCATACTCTCCAGCATCGCAATCAAGCAGCCAATATTCAGATGCAAGCTTTGACAGTGAACATTGCTGTTGAACTGTGCTGCGGTTAGGTGGAGGGGTGGGGAAGGCGAGGGCAGAAGTGCAAGATATGACAGATAAGACCAATTCTATCCTCACCAGATGTGTGTAACTTTCAGAAGGGGTCCTTCCACAGCGATCAGAAGGTTTGGTTGATTTTCACCTACCTAACCAAAGAGCATTGAAGCTGATTGCAGTTTCCCAACTGCGACAATTTCCCCAAATGAGACCAACTAGCTCAGCTTAAGCTGAAATTTCTGCCTTCGATCATTGAAGCGCTTTGGGACGTCCTCCCGTCGTGAAAAGCGCTATATCAAATGCAAGGATTATTATTATCTGGCCTGCATGATGGAAAAAAACTCTCATTCCACAAAGAAAAGAACTAAAAAAAATGTAAAGTCCCAGAGCTGCAGTATGCAATGCTTTTATCTGCAAGACCACTGGTGGAGTTCAAACTACTTCACCACTCATGTATAAATCTTCAAACTCATTTTAAAGTGGTTTCGGAGGGTAATGGAGAAGCCTTTTTTTAAGTAATCTAGGAATAATTTAGAAATGAACTTGTACATTAAAACAGACTGAGAAAGCTTCACAACACACGTCAACGCTTTTACATATTGTAACTTGTTAAAGTGCAAGTTAATTACTTGAATAAAGTAGCTCAAGTTAAATGTCTTTAGATTACAGAGTTAGCAATAGAATAAGAAGTAAAAGTTGAAAATGATCTGGGTTCTATCCAGATGCACGTTTTTTTTGACAGAATTGACTTAACACATTCTGGGCACAACTCTCACTTCACAAGGAAAAGAACTAAAAAAATGTAAAGTACCAGAGCTGCGGGAGGCTATAGTCACCACACAGATACACCAATCTTTCCTCACTAGGGATTCCCATAATACTTTGCTTGTCAGTGATTGACGGCTGTCAGACTGAACTGATTGACAGGCCGCACAGCACAAAACTGTAAAGACTATTCTCGTTATGAAACAGAATACATAAAATGGTTACAAAAGGGCTTCAGAAAACATCAAATGCAAAGATTTATCAACAAGTTACAATTTTCTTAATTCAACAGATTTTAAAATAGGCATGTAACTTTCAAATAAAACATTTACGTGTAAAAGATCATTACTGTACAATGACATTTTTAAATTTAAATACATTGATAAGTAAATTAACATTCTAAAATGATATTAAAACATCGCCCTCTGAAAAACATAATTATATTAGCTTCAGTCAAGACATTTCTAAAAAAATACAAAGAACATTAATGTCCATTTATTAGATTTTATATAATTTAAGAACAAAATTGACATGAATAAAATCTAACAGTTATTCAGATTTTCCCCGTTTGTGAATGTCAGAATGATTAGGCTTCAGAGGCTGGAATTTACTCATTCGTACAGCACACAGGGACTTTTGGGAAGGCATTGCTATGGCAATGTCATTGATACCAACTCCCTGCCAGGCTGCACCCCAGCGGAGCCCATGTCCCTGAGGTATTCAACACCTTGCCCACACAACATTTAAAACTCATTCATTGTTAATGCACGACCTTTATTTTTGGAACGCGCCGATTTTCACATTAGATTTTTTTTTGCTCAACGGTAAAACTGCTACTAAGGAACCCGAACAAAGATAAAAGGATTCTCTGAAATATGAAGCCTCATTAACAGGCAATTTTGTTGCCATGGTTTCCGCTTGGGGAGCAGATGAATTCTGGTGTCCCTTACAATCGCACTCTCACCACCCACTCCACTGGAACTAAAACCACCTTACCTTCTCAGTCCGGCTCTTGGAATCTTCTTTCTCTCTCTTCCTCACACCAATAATAAACTCATTAAACATCCCTTCCCGATCCTTCATCTTTTCAATAGCTTTGAATCTGGAATCTTTGCCAAATTTTCCAGCAAAGTCACTGAATGTGGATCTATAAATCAAAATACTAGTGATGAAAAAATACTTGCATTTGTATCCTGCCATATCAATACATCTCAAAGCACTGCACACAATGAGTTAATTTCAACTGCGGTCATTGTAATACAAGCAATTGGACAGCTAATCTGCCTAACACTCTTTCTAATTATGAACTTGAATGATAGAGAAACGTAGGTTAAGACATACAATGGTATTTATAAACTAATTTAAATATGGAAATTGGGCTGTTTTAAAACGATGCATGAAGTATTCCATTTAAAACAGCCCACTTTGCATATATAAACTATAGGGTGAAACGTTGGGCAAATTTCCTTATTTCACAACCTGATAATACCTCAAGAAAAGAAAAATAATAAATTGGTCACTTCAATCCATAACTGTTTGTGGGATACTGCCGTGCGCAATTGGCTGTCCCGTTTTGCCCACAAATATAGTCAATTTGCTTTACAGTATGTTCTGTGAAGCGTTTTTGAGACGTCTAGAAGATGTGAAAAGTACTATATCAAATACAAGGTTTATTATTATATGTTGAAATTCAACAGGGTTTTTGACCAGTATGTAAAGTACATTGAAGTATTTTTAAATTCATATTAAGAAGCATTTCCCTTTTGAAACAAACAACAACCTGCATTTATATAACATTTAGGAGCATAGGAACAAGAGGAGGCCATTCAGCCCATTGGGCTTGTCCCACCATTTTGAGATCTGCACCTCAATTCCACCTCCCTGCCCTCTCTCCATATCCCCTGATATCTTGTCTGTCAAGGATTTACCCATTGGCCTTCTAAATGTTTCAAACGACTCTGCCTCCACTGCCCTCATAAGTGAATTCCACACTCCCACCACCCGCTGTGTGAAAAAAAACTTATTTCGCCTTTAAACGGTTTACCCTCAAGTTTAAGACTGCGGCTTCCAGTCCTCAATTCTCTAGCCAGAGGAAACAGCTGCTCACCATTCAGCTTGTCAAATCCCTGAATAATTTTATACACCTCAATCAGATCACCCTTCAACCTCTTGAACTTGAGAGAATACAATTCATTATAATTTAGGTTCTCAACACTAGATATCATCTAGGAAAACAACACCCCATATTCTTTAAGGCCAATATATCCTTCCTAAGGTTTAGTACCCAAAACTGCAGTGTTCCAACTGAGGTCTAACCAGTGTTTTATAGAACTATAACATAATTTCTTAACTTTTGTATTTCAGCCCCCTTGTGATAAATGCCAACACTGTATTAGCCTTTTTGATTACTTTCTGCATAAGAATTATGAACCTGAACACCAAGATCCCTTTGCTCATTATTCCCGAAGTGTTTCTCCATCATGAATGCAGTCCAACTCGACATTCTTAGATTCAAAATGAACCACCTCCCACTTTGTCACATTGGAGACCATTTGCGATAGTTCCACCCATTCTCTTAACCTGTCTACATCCCTCCGCAAATGTTCATTGCCACTTTGACAATTTGGATAGATTCCTTCCACGGCTTATAATAATAATAATAATAATCCTTGCATTTGATATAGCGCTTTTCACGTCGGGAGGACGTCCCAAAGCGCTTCACAGAACACACTGTAAAGTGAATTGACTGTATATTTGTGGGCGAACGCGGCAGCCAATTGCGCACAGCAATGTCCCACAAACAGTCGTAGATTGAAAATGACCAATTTTTATTATTGTTTTTGGTTTTGGATGGATTATTATTAGGCGTGTGGAGTAAGGAAACTTGCCCAAGGTTTCGCCCTGCCTGGAATTGAACTCAGGTCTCTCACTTGCAAAGCGAGTGCTCTAACCACTGAGCTTCAGTGGGGCCCCAACACAGATCACTGAGTGCTTAACACTGCTTATTACTGCTCACCGGTCAGAAAATATCCCTATTATTCTATCTCTCTCTCTCCTATCTCCCAAACAAGTTCTCATCCATGTCAACAGGTCAAAAGTCTGTGAATGTTGGATCCATTTAAATTTCAACACTGAGGTGGATAGATACTGGTTAGGTAAGCGTACCAAGGGATATGGGGCAAGGACGAGTAATTGGAGTTGAGGTACAGATCAGCTATCATCTCCACATCCCCCGCCCCAACCCCCCTACCAACGGTGGCCGGGTCTTCAGCCTCTCAGCCCCTAGGCTCTGGAACTCTATTCCCCAGTGCCTTCGCCTTGCTTCCTCTCTTTCCTCCTTCAAGGCCGGTCTCAAGACCTTTCTCTTTGACCATGCCTTTAGCTCCCCTCTCGACTCTCTAACCCCTCCTCGCTCCCTCCCTTCCCTCCCCTCACCCTGACCATTTCCCCCTGCTCAGGTCCTGACGCAACTGTCCAGCAATTTGGGACATCCTCCCGACGTGAAAGGCGTTCTATCAATGGAATCTTGTTGTTGTTGTTATAGAATGGCAGAACAGGCTGAATCGCCAACTCCTGTTTCTGTTTTATTGAGCGTGACCGAACCAACTTCACTAACCTGGGGGTTAACTTTGCTTCCTCGAGCAATTTTTTGTAATCCTCTTTAGATTGTTGTAGTTTGTTTTTCTTCTCTTTTCGTTCCTCTTCAGCTCTGGTCTTCACGTACTGGTCAAAAACCTGTTGATTTACAAAGCCATCATTGTGAGCTCAAACACATTTCTGTTTTTTTAAATGTGGCTGGAACTTGAAACCCACATAGTCTATGCTGTCACACACTACTAGTGCTGGAGGTCTATTGCATTGTTGCAATAATACCTCACATTAAACTGAGGTTCCATCTGTGCCTGTTCAGATGGTCATTAAATATCCCATAGCATTACCTGAAAGAAGGATAATGCCATGTTGGCGTTCTTTGCAAAAGGTTTAGAGTACAAGAGTAGGGAAGTCTTGCTGCAGTTGTATAGGGCCTCGGTGAGACCGCACCTAGAGTACTGTGTGCAGTTTTGGTCTCCTTATTTAAGAAAGGACATACTCGCCTTAGAGGGGGTGCAGCGTAGATTCACTAGGTTGGTTCCTGGGATGAGGGGGTTGACCTATGAGGATAGGTTCAGTAAACTAGGCCTATATTCTCTAGAATATTATTCTCTATAATATAGGAGAATTAGCGGTGATCTTATAGAAACCTATAAGATTCTTAAAGGACTTGACAGGGTAGATGCTGTGAGACTGTTTCCCCTGGCTGGAGAATCTAAAACTAGGGGTTATAGTCTCAAGATTAAGGGTCAGCCTTTTCGAACTGAGTTGAAGAAACATTTTTTCACTCAGAGTGTAGTGAATTTATGGAATTCTTTACCCCAGAAGGCTGTGGATGCTCAGTCCTTGAACATATTCAAGACTTAGGTTGATAGATTTCTAAAGGATAGAGGGATTAAAGGATATGGGGATAGCAGGTAAATGGAATTAGGTTAGAATATCAGCGGGGCAGGCTTGAGGGTCTGAATGGCCTACTCCTGCTCCTACGTCATGGTCTCTGTGCTATTTGTACCATTTCCAAGAATCTTCATGTATGCAGGCTCTGCTGCTGGAGATTAAAGCTGACAATGTGTGAAGAAGAATAGCGTGTGATTAGCAAGGTTTTGCAGAGGGGATAAAAATATTTTTTTTAAAAAAGTTGATGTCAAGTTACACTAGCGATCATCAGAATTGGCACTGCCCCAAGTTTTGCAAGATCTGGATTATAAAGTGCTGATTTGAAACGTGATTAAAGGAGTTTATGGCTAATAAGATTGGATATCTATTTATCACTCAAAGAAGTGATCAGATCCACAGGACTCCTGCTAATCCTCTCCAGTGCAGGATACAAAGAAGGAAGTTGGATTTGTTTTAGGCTACAAAATCGAAACAGCTCAAAAGGCTTCACAGAAATTATTGTTAAGTGCAGTAACTGTTTTTGCAGGCAACTTTAGCCAAACGGCACAACACAGTCCCACAAGCAGACATGAGGTGAATGTCCAAATTTATCTGGAGTTTTTTGGCCAGGACCACAGGGAGAAACTCCCTTCTCTATTAGTGTAAAGCAGTTTGAACCTTTCAATGTAATAAAGCACTTTCAGTACGTTAAAGGTATCAGCCTGGCTCAGTTGGTGGCAGTCACTCTTCTGAATCAGAAGGTGGTGGGTCCAAGCTCAATGTAGGGACTTGGAGCTCAGGCTGACACTCTACAGCTTGCAGGGGAAGGGGCAATTGTTGGGAGAGCCGTCCTTCTGACGAGACAGTAATCCAAAGTTTATACTACTCGAAAAGAAAAAGGAGTTTCTATCAGTCTCTCATGCAACACTCCCCAGATAAAACTAGTCATTCACTTCATGGCGCTATGTGGAACATTGTGTGTGCTGTCATACCACTTTACAGTAAATGTTGTGAATCCTTTGAGACATCCTCTCATGAAAAGTACTACATCAAATGCAAGAATTATTCATTATTATTTGTATAAAAAAGTTTGCTCCTATTCTAATATTGTATTTGGAAAAACAAATGCTAATAAGTTGACTTGTCACAATGCTAACTTGATTACTTCATGACAGTTTATACTTTGATTTTCTCAAATATGATATGCAGCTGCCTGACCTGTTTCCTTTCCTTTGGATTGAGCAGAAGATATCTAGGATCAAAAACAATCTTGTGGAGTTCCTTTTCCCATGTTGAAAATGCCGACACCTGAAAAGAGAAATCAAGGAGTGAAAATTAAACAATTAATTGCACTTTTCTAAAACTAGAGAAATAGTTTTCAAGTCCTGGAGTGCAAAGTTATCTGTAATTAGAATATAAAATAGCACAGTGGCAGCTCTATACTCTGGGCAAAATCCAATGTTGGGAAAGGAGAGTCATAATTCAAAGTGCCAGTTTAGACGTCACAATTTCTGTTTATCGACCTTACCCGATTGCAGTTTCCATCTGTATCAAAAACAGACGAGCAGCAGGGGCTGCTGACAAGTTATTCACTAATTGGCCTTGAATTCCACTAAACAATTATGACATCAGTCAAGTAACCTCTTATTAAAACATTTACCACAGGGTGACATTTAAAAGCGTCCCAGCTGAGCTCCACTGGGGGCAAAACCTTGAAGTTTAATCTTTTGATTGCAAAGCCTTTTGGCTTTTTATCTCATGTTGTGTAAGTTGAGAATAATCGTTCAGATAAGGAGAAAGCCTGAACTTCAAGCCACATACACAGTACAGAAACTTGTGCAGTACAAAATGCTGAATAAGCAAACCTAAAAGGGCTGGAAGAGATTTACAGACAAAACAGGGAACCTTGCTATTAAACCTTACAAAGGAACACTTCTCAAAATTCTTCCTACATGAAGAAATGGTCAGTTTTATATAAAAATAAAACTTTATTTTAATAGTGAAAAGAAGCAGTGTGCTCTATTTTAGTGCAGCTGAACTTCACATGTTGCCACCTCATATTTATAGATATTTATACATAGTTATCCATATATAAATAAGTTTTTCTATCTGATTATTTTTGAAAATGATGGTGCTGAACATTCTAAACTCACTAATGAGCATATCTGACTAATAAGGGCAAAATAAGCTTGTTGTTATGAGTGGGTTTCTGTTGTTGCATCTCAAGCCGGTAAGAGATCAGGGCGGAAAATTATTCCATTATCCTGGCCCACATTTAACCCTGCTGGCCTGGCGGACACAACAGTGCACCACCATAGGCTGCTAATGAAACACACAGCTGCACACACATCCGAAATGACAGCTCCAGCAGAGCTCCAGGACACTCTGCTCACAATTAAGCATCTTGATCAGTGGTCAAATGGCAATATTAGTAATTAAACAAACAGTGATTGACAACCTCTCCCTAATAAGCAGAAGCTATCTCTACCCTCAAAAAATATGGTAGAGACAGAATACATTTTTTTCTAAGATAAAACACAAAGAGTGAAATTTCTTTAGTTACTTTTTTTAAAAAAAACTGAACCTAACGATCTTTCTTTGCTTGTGAGCTCTACGTTCGCCAGCAAAGAAACAAGAACAGTTGAGTAGGTCAGACATGCCATCAGTTTGAAGCTCATTATGTGAATGGCTGACACATTCAAATCTGCGCTATGGGTGCCGAATCAATGTCTGACATCAGAGATGCCACAGGCATGCTGCATTATCTGTGAAAGTTAACCAATTTCAAGTTTATAAGCACTTCAAAATATGGATGTAAACGATTCAGTCCTTACCCCTCGTTCTAGCAGCATATCTCTAAACTGTTTCATGCGAGCTTCCAAGGGAACTATGGCCCTTTCACGAGCAGCTTTGATCTCGGCTTCCATAGCTGCCTCTTTCTCAGACTCCGGATCCTTGGGATCATCTTTCCTGTAAAGTTAGCGAATATTAAGCAGACAAAACTTTGCTGAAAGGATAGAATAATTTCTGTGGTTTGATTTTCTAGGAGGTATTTTCACTTAATAACTGAACAATCTACCTTTCTTAGAGCTTACAGGAGGCTTCAATTGAAAACTAGTTAGCATATAATATTAATATTGCACCTTCGCACTTTAGAATAATCATCTGCATTATTTTTCCGTAAATCAGTCAAGCTACATTGCTGGACTAGCATGAAAGTTACAGTGCAGCCCAGGCCACATAGATCAGATCACAAGTTCAAATCAAAAGTCTGTGTTGCTTGGCTGATCTCATTTGGTGAAGCAGTTGAGGTTGTACAATTGCTCTCAGCTCCCCTGAGTAAGGGAAGAGAGAGAAAAAGAAACATTGGTCAGGGTTCCTACTCCTGTTTATTATCAATTGATCGCTGTTGGAAGGTACAGGTGTGGATGTCAGGGATTTTTAGCCTTTGAACTACTCACTTCCTCTTCTTTGCTTTCACTGGTTCATCATCATACGACTCCTCCATAAGCTCGGTCTCCTCTTTCACTAAATAAAAAGGAAAATGTTTTCATTGTAAAATACTTGCTGTAATGAGGTTTCTTCAGTTTATTTGAACATTTTCCTTTTTTTAGAAATTCACACGTGAAATATACCTTATTTCACGTAAACCCAGTTTACGGTTCTCATGAACTCAATCCATTATTAAACTTGTTTTTAATACTCATATTTTGAAACAGGTGAGACTGCGTACAGAGCTAATCTAATGTTGCACTAAAAAGATTTAAAATCTTTATAAGCCTAAAAATTACAAAAGGAAAAAAAAATCACTACAATAAGAAAACCTTCAATCTGAGTGTAATAAAACGTCAATAATGTTGAAATTCTTTTAAGTTATTTCAAACCCAAACTTTATACTTGTACTTGCTGACATTGCAGCTGAATGTTGGCAAGACGGCAGCCATACTCTTTGGCTCCCGTCAACGTCTTCTCTTCTATGAGTCTGAACTCTTTAACTTCCCTGGACTCTCCCTCAGACTCACCAAATCCATGAGTAACTTAGGTGTCAAGTTCGACCCTCAGCTTTCCTTTCTATCCCACATCCATTTCCTGACCAGGTCTGCTTTTTTCCACCTGTTACATTGCCCGCCTCCGTCTGTACCTCACAACCAACACAGCCAAAGCCTTTGTCCACACCTTGGTCACTTTCCGGCTAGACTATTCCAATATCCTCCTTGCTGGTCTCCCCAGCTCCACCATACACAGAAACCAATTAATTCAAAATTATGACGCCCAGATACTCACCCACTGAAACTCCGTACCTCCATTACATCATTACATCAGCCTCCACTGGCTCCCAATTACCGAACTGATCGATTTCAAGATCCTCTCATTCGTTTCCAAATTCCTTCATGCCCTCCCACCTCCCGACGTATCCGATTTGCTTACCGCCCACTCACTGCCTCTCCTCGGCTGGTTCTGGCCTCCTGTTTGGCCCTTGTCCCCTCCACCATCGGTGGCAGTGCCTTCAGCCACTGCATCCCGAAACTTGAACTCTCTCCCTTCATCTCTCCACCTTGCCCGCTCCCTCACCACTTTCAAATCCCGCCTAAAGACTTTCCTTTTTGATTGGTCACCTCACACCTCCCTGCCTCAGTGTCAGCACTGTCAAGCGCTAACAGACTCTACCCTGCGTGAACTACACTATATAAATTCAAGTTGATGTTGTACTATTCTTTCACAGTGTTGAAATTGCAATTGACCAACTTCACTTGGATCAACATTACTCCAAATAACCATAACAAACTTTAGGGTGTTTTATAAAATAATCTACACAAACATTTTTCGATGATTTTCAGGCCTTGCTTGCAGCATTCAGTGACGTGGGGTAACTGCAATTTCATTCAACCATAAATGTTGCATTAAGGTTTCTAGTAATGTCACAACAAACAGCAATAGGTCCCAATTTGGATCTCTCACCTAATTGTTTCTTCTCATCTTCAGTTGACTTTTTATGAGGTGGTTCCTGAATAATTTTATCTACATCTGCTCGACCAACCAGTTCGTCTGGCCGATCCCACATAGATAGACGAGTCGTGGGGTTATAGTAAAACACCCGTTCATCGCCAGTCCAGACAACACACCTGGAAAAGTAACAGTTATGACCAAGAAGCATATGATAAAAACTAATCACTGTTCTGACAGCTAACAGATCACATAATTTACTACTAAGTTCATGGGATTCATATTCATCATTTGTAAGTACAGCAGATTTGATTTTGGGAAGAGGGAGTCAAACATAGTCAAGTATAGTATGTGCTATCAATGAAATAATTGTATGAACCACTAGTCTCAGTCACATTCTGTAAATAAAGAGCTCCATCTAATGGCAGTGCGATGGCGTCTTATCTTTTTTCTGAGGTACACGTGTCAAACTTGATTCTGTCCACGATCAGGCAGACGCACAAATCTTTAACCTTTCTGACCACTGTCTGTCTGAGGAGGGGGCCACAGTTTACATCCATTTTGTAATACCCCAACAGTAATTCATTGTTTAGTTGTCAATAATTCTTTGATATTATTGCAAAAATGTAAGCCAGATGATGATAATAATATCACCCTTTGTGACTTCTCAAAGCGCTTCACAGAATATACTGCAAAGTGAATAGACTGTATTTTGTGGGCAAAACGCACCAGCAGCAGTTGTGGACTGAATGGCTATCTTTTTTAAAGGGATTATTACCCCCGGAAAGCAATCTACCAATCAACTAACTAGAGGGTTCCTTCGTATTTACCACTAGGTAAACAGGGGTGTGGAGTAAGGAAACTTGCCTAAAGTTTTGGCCCTCCTGGGAATTGAACTTGGGTCCTCTCGTTTGCAAGGCGAGTGCTCTAACCATTACGCTACAGGACTTCACACTAAACCAAATGGCAACTCAAAATTTACATACGAACAGTGAAGTTTTTTGCTTGTGAGAAAGATAGGTCTTTAGAATTTTAACAGCTTAGGGTTCGAGATGGACAAAGACACAAAGCTAGAGAGACTCTAAGGAAGACTGAGAAACAGAAGGAGAATGAGACAGACAGAGACATACAGAAGCTCATGCAGCTTGCACTTCAGCATTTTTTAAAAAAAATATTCTTTATGCAACAAATGTAGAACTTTTTAAAATAACATTGAACAGTTCCAAAGACAAATATCATCACATAACATTAATATTACATACCATGGTGTACCAGGGACAGGGGTTGTTGCTACGGGTTTAGCTTTTTGAGCAGCTTTCTCTTCCTCAGTCAAAATCTCCTCTTTTGGCTCCTGAAAAAATAAACAGAAATGTAACAAAGATATGTAAACGGCACAAATAATTGATTAGTCTTGTATAGCCACTGACTGAGAATGTTGAACTGTTATGAAACTAGGTTTGAATCACATTACTGTGAACATGGCTCACTGTAATCTGAAAAAAATGCAGTGATAAAAATACAGCACTTTACCAGAAGCTTTATCTTCCAGTGATGTTCAACGTATTGGAAATTAAGAACTTCAATATTAAATCACAATCTCTTCACAATCAATTTCCACAGAGCTCATCTCCAAGCACATCCTACATAGCTGTACATTAACCATACCACAGACCTCTTTTTTCTCCTTCGGATGATCCTCTTTGGTATCCTCCTCTTCCATTTCCATCGGTTCTGGTTCCGATGGCTCTTTGCACATCTCTCTAGGTTTCTCCATTTCCTTATCTGCTTTGCACAAACAATTATATGAATGATATGTTTTGAATTCTGCTTTCAGCACGCAAACCAGCATGCTGAAAGCAGAATCCAGCACATATTTTTAACAATATGTCCAATTTTACCTTTCCAAAGTTAAAGCGAAACCAAAATCATCTTTCAAGTAAACAATAAAGAATAACTTTTCAGACAAAAAGCCGCGCTGGTTGGCATTTTGAGGTAAGGGAACTTTGGTTAACCTCAGACGCTGCTTAAGCTGGACAAAACAGCCCTAATGCGACCCGCTTAAGCGGCTTCCACTGTACATCACAATGTTTTTTATTCCAGTTCTAACATAAAATGAAACGAATGGGTTGAGAAGTTGTAGCTCATTAGTTGTGCGTCGACTAGATACCTTTCTCCCTGAGCTCACGTGGTCTCTCCCACGTGGACTCCAAGGTCCTGTTGTTGTAATAGTAGGTTTTTCCATCACCAGTTTTATATTCTGTCCATTCCAAGCTTGGAAGGCCAATTGACGAAGCTAGTGTAACCTGTGGAGGCAACATCGGCATGATAGGTGGGGCCATTCCGGGCAATAAACCTGAAACAACAAGAACAGCATTTTGAAAAGGAGAACAGAGAGAATACTCACATACTACAATTCATAGTTTGACCAGACCATGACTAGAGCCTGAACAGTGATTGAAATTTCAGAAATATTTGCAACCCAGCCTTCTCCTAAAAACTGTTTTAATTGGAAAGCTACATATCTAAGCACACATTTTCTTTTTCCAATTGTGGCTTCCGTTTTACTCCAGTAAAACTGGGTTGAAATAGATTTACTATTTGAATGGTACATTACAAGGATAATTACGAGTTAGCAAGTTTTGCAGGATTCTATCATTAAAAATGACAACGGTACAGAGTATTTTTAAAAAAAATAAGCTTGAATATTTCAGGTGGACTTCACTACATTTTAATATAATTTAATATAATTTCTCTTGTCAAGTATCCATTCTCATAAAGTGAAGATGACTGACCTAAGATTTACTCTGTAGCAGACAAGATCAAACATGTGAAATAAAATGACAGAACAAACTGTATATGTTGAAAATAAACAGACTCACACTCAAAGTGTAGAAATTTTACAAACTTTGTACTGGTGTTGGAATTGACTGACACAGGCAACAGTCTCAAAACAATCTTCCTTAAAAACATTTTAAAAACACGTGCATGCTGGTGGAAGGAGGGGTGGGGAAGAGGGGGAGAAAGGCAGCACAAAATCCCAATAGAGCCCAGAACATGCTTCTGGAAACTGCCAACAGCTCATAAATGATTCAATCGTTTATAAGCAAGAGATTATAAATGACTGTGCAATAATTCCACGTGCTGCAACTTCTCTTCATCAACCTTAAAATGAGATCTCTGCCTTCATTGTAATTTGTGGTTGAGCTGAAATATTTTATTCAGTAGGTAAAGGTGGTGTGCCAGAATTTGCAGAACTGTGTAATACTTTGATTTACTGAATTGTCAAAATATACATTTCATTTCAGTCAAATTCAAAGTGTGGTTCAAAACAACATGTTCAGCTTTCCCCACATCAGCAACATTGCCCTCCTCTGTCATTCCTCTCGGGCTGTAAAGACTCTCATCCATGCTTTTATCACATCTAGGCTCAACTATGCTAACTCTCTGCTCACTGGACTTTCCAATTCTCCCCTCCACAAGCTGCAGATTGTTCAAAACTCTGCAGCTCGTGTTCTCTCCCACACTAAGCTCTGTGAGAACCCCCATCCTTACCTGGCTGCCCATCCCCCAGAGGATCGAGTTCAAGATCCTCGTCTTCACTTTTTAAGCCCTCCAGGTCTTGCCTCACCCTACTTCTGTGACCTTCTAAAACCTTACCAATCTTCCTGCTCCCTCTGCCGGCCTCACATACCCCATTCTGCCAACCCATCATCGGCAGTCAGGCCTTCAGCCTTTCTGCCCCACTCTCTGGAGCTGGAATCCCTTCGCCTTGCTATTCTCTTGCCTCCTTCAAGATCAGTCTCAAGACCTTCCTCTTTAACCCCACCTTTAGTCATCTTCCCACCCCACACTACTATGGACCCCACCACTTTCTAATCCAATTCCCAACTTGGGTGCAAACCCTTGACCATCCAACGCTTTGGGACATCCTCCCAACATAAAAGGCACTGGATAAGTACAATTTGTTGTTGTATCCAATTTCTAATTTCACTGTCATTTCACACATGTGAAAATTCAAAGTGGTGGGTTTTATATAGCGTTACATAGTCACCAGCACAGAGTTCCTGAATACAAAGTGCTTCTGCCAGATTAAATCTGTGTTTGCAACTAAATACTATTTATTCGGGAATAAGCTCTCCTGTTGGTCTAGTGAGTAAAGTGACAGTGCAATATAGCACGACTAGATAAAAATAGGAAAGCCAGTTTATGCTCACTTGGTCTATCTCAACCGTAGCAGCATGTGGGACAATGGGATGCTGTAATTTGCTCCAGTATGGAAGGGGAAATCAGACGATTGTCAGATGAGAGCAGGATTAGTCTTGGCTGTAATGTCTCCCATGATCAAATAGCCTGTCAACACTCACTATCAAGGCTCCCACATGAACAGTCACTTGGGCAAAGTATTAAAGAGTACCCGGGCATCCTTAAAAATGTAACACAGTATACAGAAAAAGGGATCATATTGGCAAAAAAATTAAAGCGTAATTTGAAACAGGAGATCGGCTGTTATTTCAAATAAACTATCATGTGGCTGAGAAAAGTTTAAGCACTCTGAGGCACTACCCTGAGTGCGATATAAATTCAAGTACTATACAAATGTAATTTTTTGTTGTTGCTATTAATTCTCACTCCTATTGAAAAACAAGCTGAGCTTTCTACTTCTGTTTCTTTTGCCACTTATATGTTTGACAAACCAATCAAAGCCATTAATTAAGGAGGATTTCTTCCAAGCAAGAAATAAATTGCTAACACTTGGAATTTTCTCTTTATATCATAAACATATACAAAGTTCTGTCCTAAAGACTCTTCTATAGTGGACACACTTATCCGCTCCCTCCACTCGACAGGCTCTGGCTCTCTCCATGTCCCCCGCCCGGCCCGTCTTGCCCCACCATCAGAGCTCGGGCCTTCAGCCTCTCCGCCTCCACCCTTTGGAACTCCAACCCACATTCCCTTGCTCCTCTCCTTCCCTTGCCTCCTTCAAGACGCGTCTCAAGGCCCTCCTCTTCGACCTCGCCTTCGGCCACCCTCTTACACTCCCTGATCCTAACCCCCCCTGCTCGGGCCAAATCCCTGACTGTTCAGTGCCTTGGCACATCCTCCCGATGTGAAAGGCGCTACACAAATGTAATTTTGTATTGTGTACGAACAATCAAACCCTACATTGGCAATGTTTTCTTCTGATCAATCACATAAAACACAACCATATCTTACACACACCTGCAAAGATCGGTCAGTTAATTACAGGTCATTAAAACTTGCAATATGTAAGTGGGAGGGACGGGAGGAGGAGGGGGCATGGGGGGCAGTGCAGAAAAGGGGACAGTGAATAAAAAGAGAGAAGATATTGCTACTTTAGTGGATTTTTACAACCAAACAAAAGTTACAAATTTCAGGGAACAATGATGCAGCTTTACCGTTCTTTAGCACTGTACTCAGAAAGCATTTTGTATTTTGAAAGTGTTTCGCCCACAAAATATGCAGTCAATTCAATTTACAGTATATTCTGTGAAGAACTTTGAGACATCTCGATATGATAAGGCGCTATATCAAATGCAAGGATTATTATTATTACTACAGTAACCCCATTAACCTACATCATTTCTAGAAGCCATCCTAAAAAAGTAGACCAATTCTGAAGATGTTCAGAATTAATTGGAAATATTTGCTTTGTGCTACTGGATTATACTACTGAAAAGATAGGTCCTACAGAAGTCCCATTCAATAAAGTTGCAAAGGAAAATGTTATTACCATGTCCAGAAGCTTATGTGAGATACAGTACCTGCAATTTCTGACACCAACAGTTTTGCACAGACCAATGGCGGAAACAATGACAATTCATAATTAACCACCATTACAATAATGGCAGTTATCTTTTTGCTTTATAAGCTATATAAAGCTTGAAGCAAATGGGGAAGAAATGGGAAAACAGTTATCATAAACTGAACACAACAGTCTTGTTAGCAACAATGGGTGTAGTTAGCAACTACACAAGCATGCACAAAGACTAACATTGCAAATACACAGGAAATGGGTTTGTACACACAAGCACTTGTCAGCACAGATGCCATAACTAAGTAAATAAAGAGAGGCTTTACACACGTAGTGAAAAAAAATTAAGGTAGTGCAGGCAAATACAATTTGATATTCCAAGTTAATGTTTTTCCCCAACAGTACTGGTACTTGCAGAGCATGGTATTATCCACAGTACTGAAAATATGGGCCCAAAATATGATTTGTTTTGTCTAAGGGTTTGCATGAGATACTGCCTTAAAATAAAGCCAAAGGTTCGGGACAGCTAAAATAAAGTCATAACATTCAACATCATGCCAACTAATAAGACAGAAAGGACCAAGATAAAATATTACCGTTCTTGGCGGTAGTGACTGTCTTTACATACGGGCAGCTGACTATTTGCATCATTGCTACACCTGTAAGAACGGAATAAGCAAGCGTGTTGGAGAAAAGATAGGCGTCAGCTGCTGCAAAATGATTTTAAAGCTGCATTATCGTAAAACATGTTCCAGTCCTCATTTAGATCACCATTACTTAGGAAAATACAGTACAACATTGCAGGGAAACAGTGTCCATGTTAGCTGATTCTTTCACGGTTAAAAATGTTAATGTAAGTTTCGTATGAGCTCCAGCAACGCAGTGGACTCACATTTTGTATACATTTACCCAGGATACATAGACTAAATACTGAATAAACTATGTATGCCATGGTTCTTTTTAATGCCATGCTATACTAAAACTCTAGGACAGCATTAAAACATTTACATTGACTAATGTGAACAGCAGGCTGTTTAACAGATGAGCAACTCGAAAAGTAAAAAAGGGCCATTAATCAAGATCTTATGCACATGAATACACATTTACATAATAAATGCTGTCTAATATATACATTAACACCACAGGTTTCGTTTGAAATAGGGGCAATGTTGGTTTGTTTAAAAAAGACACTTAATTGAGGTATGCACTTACAGGTAAGTGGAGTAGACTGTACTTGTAAACCTGCAAGAGTTGACATACTGTAGATCATATCCTCAGGAATTAATAACTTTAATCTTTCAGATAACGTACAGTAAGTATGCATTATTGAACAATGAAAGGTGCACACTCTGAAATCCAATTTTGAAAGAATGTACATATTCTGAAAAAGGAAAACCAATACATAAAGGCGTATTCTACAGTATAATGCAGCTTTAAACTAAACTAGGATCAATTTGTCCCAACTGATCCCCACATCAGTCAGCAGGGACAGATTGAAGTCTTCCCAATTACATTCTATTACAAAGAAAGCACTCAGTACTTGAAATATACATATTAAAATAAAATTTGAATTTCCAGATGTCTTCGTACAGTTAGTTTGGTGTTTTAAAATTTACACCATGTTATTTATTGTCAAGTGCTGACAATTTATCCACAAATTCTGCACACTAATAAATGCATAATTACATGAATTAGTAAAACTGACTCAGGGTGGTAGAGAAATGCACATCTTAAATCTCAGTGCAAATTTCTCATTTGATTTTGACAGGTGCTATACAAATGCAAGTTGTTGATTTTTAAAAACTGGTTGGGAAATGTAAATGCTTTTCGTGTTAAGATTTAGTAATTTTGGTACAGAGGAAATTAACGTTAACTGCATTTTGTATTGCTTCTCTATAATGCTTTGATATATTGTTTATCCAGCACAAACGACTTTGCTCAGGACTGTCTGATGAAACCTGCTCATTCACCTCAGTTTCTTTTCAACCAACAGAGAATTGTCACCTGAGCAAGGTCCAGTTTACACAATTAAGGATGTTGGAACAGTGGGAAGGAGTGCAGTATGTAATAAGTTAATTGAATTCAAAGAATCAGGCCCATTGAACTTAAGCAGGTCGACTATTTGATTGTCCAATGATAAACCTTCCTCTGAAGCCTCACTCTTCCTCCTAGCTTGAGGCACCAAGCACCTTGAGCCAATCAACCCTATCCTCGCCCACCTTCATTGGCTCCCCATCCCCCAAGGATCAGGTTTAAATTCCACATCCTCACGGACCTGTTCCTGCCTACCTCTGCGACCTACTAAAACCTTACCAACCTGCTTGCTCCCTCTGCTCAGTGGGCACCAGCCCTGCCCGCCCCACCATTGGCGGTCAGGCTTTTCTGCCCCATCCTCTGGAACTCCATCCCTTCACCTTGCTTGCTTTGCCTTTTTCAAGGCCCATCTCAAGATCTTCCTCTTTGACTTGCCTTGGGTCATCTTCCCACCTCCACCCTCCTTGCCCTCCATCCCTCTCGACTCCACTCCCAGCTTTGGTGCGAACCTTAACCGTGCAGGGCCTTGGGACGTCCTCCCGACATGAAAGGCACTATATAAATGAAATTTGTTGTTCTCGAAGGGAGAATACAATGTTGAATCCAGGAAGCAAAGTTTTTGAGAAAAGATGCTTTTGACATTTCTTGTTAGCACCATCTGCTGGCCTATCAGTAACAAAACACCCAGTTAAAACAGTTGTGTTGGATTGAACTAATTTCTTCACAATAATCTAAATCGTTGACTTTGGTGCCTTGAGCATTTAGAATTAGATTGTGACTAATTGCATTTTAGCCTAATGTTAGTAATTTTAAATGATAATTTTTTAGTGTTACAATTACAGTGTTTGTATTTCAGACATTAGGCATTCATATCATTATTTTTACTGCACTTTAAATTACACACCAGGAAGCTGCTCCAAAAGTTTGAAGATGCTAGCCTAAAGCTCTTGCACTAAACTCACTGTCATAGCAACCCCATATCCTTAACTCCATTTGGCTACCGGAGCTCTCTTAATTCAGGCTTTCTTGTCATTCTCCCCTTTCTTTGCGTACTATTGATATTTTCTTCCTTACATACTTACACTCTTCTCTCTTGGACAGTTGTTCCTCCTTTCGCTGGTGCACTTCTTTCTCACTTATTTCCTTCCCCTGAAACTCTCTCTTTCCTCATGGAGATTTGTCTATCTTTGATTGAGCCGTTTCTTCCCACAACATTTCCTCATATGGACTATCCTCTCCCACGCCTTTCCAGTTTAATTACTAGACATGAATAAATATCTGGAGTATGTCTCCCAGAATAATTCCCTTAGACTGATCTGACATTCCAACCAGTCACCTTCCTCATAGCAAATTACCCACAGTAATCACTCATGCACAGACATTCAGATGACTGCCAATTGAGCTCAGAAAAGGTGGTTCATGACTATCTGTCAGTATAAGGGTTGTGCGTTCAAGATGAAAATGTTTGGCAGTTCAGAATCAGCTCAGTCGATTAGGAAATCCCTAATTTTATAATATTTGCCTTATCATGTCTTCGAAACATCTCAAAGCGCTTTTTTACAGTCCTAAGTATTTGCTTCCAAACATTCAGATTCTGCAAGAATCAGAAGCCACACGAATGGTTGTGCCTTAAATGTTAACCTTTCTCAGATGCTTACCGACTTGCTATGGATTATCAATCTGTTTCTATTTCAGATTTCCATCATTTAGCATCCATCATCTGACATTTGTCAGAAATAAAAAGAAAAACTTAAATGATAGAAATGAAGTACGCCAACATAACAGTGTCATACAGCATTGTCTAATGGACAGATAGTGATATTTTCTGTGAGTCCAGAAGTACCAAGTGAACCTGGAATTCAGACCAAAGGATTTTCAACACCCAAGTCTTTATTTTATGTACTGAAACAGAAATGGGAAATGGTAATTTGGTGATGCAATCCTCAAAAGAAACTTCCACGCAAAGCACAAACAATGATGTGCAAACAGACTAATTCTACATTAATACCCACAGTCAAAAGGTGTAAGTCAAAAAAAAAGAGTACAAGATTCTCACCTACATGATAGGAAACTTACATCTGCAGTGAAACAGATTTGTTCCAGTCACAATTTAAAAGTTTAATCAATCATAAATTTACCCCTAAATTGAAGAATACGTGGAGCTAAAGACCGACTGTCGGAAGGTAACTACATTTTCTACTTTCAGAACTATAAGGTTTGTTTGACAAATTAAATTTGACAGGATTTCTGGCACAAACTTATTTTACTTGTCTTTCAATCTCAGATATCTATTTGCAAATTACAAACAATTGCCCCAAAACAATACAAATTTATAATCCCTGCATTTGATATAGCGCTTTTCACGTCTTCTAGACGTCTCAAATTGCTTCACAGAATATACTGTAAAGTGAATTGATTGAATATTTATGGGTGAAATGTGGCAGCCTAATAGCAGCGTCCCACAAACAATTTGACTGGGAATCAAACCCAGGTCTCTCGAATTTACTTTCACATCAGGGAGACTTCCCAAAGCACTGAAGAGTCTAAAGTTTGCCCTCGATTTGGGGGTGTGGACCGAGGAGTGGGGCAAAAATAACCAAAAGTGCAGTCGAAGAGGAAGGTCTTGAGGTGGACTTGAAGGAGGCGAGTGAATGGGCAAGACAAAGAGACTCCGAGATGACATTCCAAACGTGGGGCTGATATGCTGAAAGCTGATGGTGGGGCAGTGGTGTCCAGCAAGCGGAAGGGGGCAACCAGATTGTAGGATTTGAGGAAGTCCCAGAGATAATGTGTTTCACAATGGAGGGATTTAAAGGTCAGGGCGAGGATCTTGAACTCGATTCACTGGGGAATGGGGAGCAAGTAGAGCCGGGCTAGGTTAGGAGTAGTATCATGGAGCTAAGCTGAAGTGAGACTTCAGCTGTGCAGGCTAAAGATACCCCAGTTATTCTTTTCATGTACATCAAGTAACACTTACAATAATTTACTGGTAATTAACTATAATTGTCATTGCTAGCATTTCTGACACAATCTTATTTTACTTGTCTTTCAATCTCAGAGACATCTATCTGCTCTTCAATAAATAATATCTACTCAATACTATGCAATAGGATCTTGTCTATTTCCTTTCACATCTCACCTAATAAGATTTAACAGAAGGATACAGACAAAAATAGGATGCTGATGATATAAATGAATTAGAATAGAAAACAAATTGACCTAGAAAAAAGTAAATTTATTTCTATCAGTACCATATGCTTCACTCTGCAGTTTCTCACTAAATCCCCACCGGGATGTGTAGCCAATAGCCAAAAGCATAAATTAACTCAATTTCCAAAAACTGAGCTTTGTGCATGAAGTTTTTTTTTAAAAAGTTTATACAGATCACTTTCAGATGTTTATTTTCTAAAAAATACTTCTCCCCCAAGTATCAAACATAATTAAATGCACCTGGTTCATATAACTGTACCAGTATTCACTCTCCCACTGCCACGCAGCATGCCTCTATCAAGTCAAGATAGCGCAAAATTGTTTCTTTTTTTAAAAATCGGAATTTTTTACGACTTGACTTTCATGCAAGGCAGTGTACCTCCAATGCATTTATGTGGATAAAACCATGGATGAGATACTTATCTGTAAATCGTGAAGAGCTAAAGTTTTCACCTTCCTTTCTGTAAAACTATTGTAACTTTAAAATTATATTAGCCATGGATCCAAAAATGTAAAGATCAGTCGATAAAAACAGCTAACCACTGAAGACAAAATTATGGCCTTGAGTGAAAGCAGAAATTACAAAGTTTAGGATGTAGAACAGATTCTTCCCCCGCCCCACCAGAAAACAGCCTGTTGATTAACAGTCCTAGTTTTAGGACACGTCAAAGCACACTGACTAATATGTAACATACACAACACAGCACCCAATTTATTCAGGATTAAGATACCAGTCAAACTAAAAAATTAAAGACAAAAAACACAGAAATGAATCACCTGGTTTAATTCACAAATGAATACCCAGTACTGCAAAACTGATTTAGAATAGAATCCTTGTAAATTGCAGAACACTGTTCCCCTGTTCTGTATGGTAAACAAATGTGATTTTTTTTTTGCATTTCTGTTTTAACCTCAGTTGTTATACTGGGGGAAGCTCTTTGAATGCCTAGTTTATATTCCGGACTCAACGTAGTAAATTGCCACACAAACACTGCATAAATCAAATTTGAGGAGTGGTGAGGATATCTCAGTCATTAACAGACCATTTGTAATGTTAAAGAGAACAAGGACTAAAGTGTAAATCAGTCCTCTGGGAATCACTTTACTGTTGGAAAGACTTGTCATATTATTACTAGCAGTAAAAAAAATCAGAATGTAGAAGAAACCTCATCATAATAGGCTTCATTATAACACAGGTCTACTTTTAGCACAAATGGGGTGTGGACCCCAACATTCTCTTACCAAAAAATCCAAACTGCCAGAAAGCCAGCTGGCTCTCTTGCACTAACAATAGCTAATTTCATAGACTTGAAACATGGGCAATGTTCAGATCAACAGGTCGTTGGGCAGGAAGCAATGCTGGCAGTGACCTGTAGAGCTGGAAGTCAGCATTTGTTTGGCTGGGAAGATGGATAGTTCTTTGCCCGCTTATGCAATTAATGCAGAAGTGCTCATTGGTACTTGTGCCCCATTGTAATACTCGTTAGAATTTTGTGGATCTCAAATCCCAACAGGGCTCAACTATACTGCCCATTATACCACAGCTGTCTCTCATCTCTACAGATTTGACTAACTCACCCTGAGATTCCCCCAATGGGAAATAGAAGATTTTAAGATGCAATTAATAATAATAAATGCTTGCATTTGATATAGCACCTCACATCTTCGAGAAGTCTCAAAGCGCTTCACAGAATATACTGAAAAGTGAATTGACTGTATATTTTGTGGGCAAAATGGGGCAGCCAATTGAGCACAGCAGTGTCCCACAAACAGTCATGGATTGAGGGACTACATTTTTTTAAGGGATTATTACCCCCGAAAAGCAATCCGCCAATCAACTAACTGTAAGGTTCCTACTTTCTGCTGGATAAACAGAGGCATGTGGAGTAACAAAACTTGCTCAACATTTCACCCTGCCCGTGAATCAAACCCAGATCCTCTTGCTTGTGAGGAGAGTCCTCTAACCACTAGGTTACAGGACTATTACAAAGGCATTTATGCATTTTATACAGCAATCTAGACAAAGGGTTAGAATGCACCTAAATGTGACTCCTGCTTAGTTATTAAGCAGGAGCCACATTTATGACCATAAAAGCATCTTCAGTGTATTCAACACCAAAAAGATATACATTTGCACACAACGTTTTACCTTCAAAAGACATCTGCAATGCAATTTTCTTTCCTCAATTGAAACTTTAATTTTGCCATGCAGATCATTTTTAAAGGTACAAATTCTTAAATTCAATGGGATATTTTTAGTGTAAGTATATCACAGGTGCCCCTCATCTCTACAGATTTGACTGCCCACAGATACAGCGCTCGTCAAAGTAACAAATGACGTCCTCTCTCTCTCTCTCGCTCTGTGACCAGAGCTCCCTCTGCCTCCTCATTCTCCTGGACCTCTCCGCCATATTCGACAGAGTTGATCACGCCAACCTGCTCCATTGCCTCTCCTCCCTCATCCACCTTAGTGGGACTGCACTCGCTTGGCTCGAATGCTACTTTAAAAGGCAGCAACAATACATCTCGGCAAATGGTTTTTCCTCCCGTCCCTGACTGGTTACTTGTGGGATACCCCAAGGCTTCATCCTTGCCCCCTTCTTTTCCTTATCCACATGTTTCCTCTCAGTGATGTCACCCGCAGACATGGGGTCAACTCCCATATGTATGCAGATGACACCCAAATCGACTCCAGCTGCGACTGATGTCCTGTCAGCTTGTTTCTTTCCTGCAGCTGAATGTCGGCAAGATAGAACGTTGACGGCTACCATCAATGTGGTCTCTCCTGCGGGTCTGAACTCCTTGACCACCCCAGGCTCTCCCTCAGACTCACCGAACCTGTGCACAACTTAGGCATCAGGTTCGATCCACAACTTTCCTTTCTACCCCACATCCATCTCCTGACCAGGATTACTTTTTACCTCTGTCACATTGCCCGCCTTCATCTGTAACGCACAACCAACACAACCTTCGCCTTCATCACATCCCGGCTGGACTATTCTAAAGCCCTGCTCGCTGGTCTCCCCAGCTCCGCCCTAAACAAAATTCAACGAATTCAAAACTCCATCGCCCGGATACTCACGCGCACAAAACTCCGTACCCCCATCACACCAGTCCTTGCCAGGCTCCACTGGCATCCAATTCCCAAATGGATCAATTTGAAGATCCTCTCACTCGTTTTCAAATCCCTTTATGCCGTCCACCTCCCTATCTATCTGATCTGCTTACCCTCCCACTCCACCAACTGCAGCCTCCACTCAGCTGGCTCCGGCCTCCTGTTTGTCCCTCATCCCCTCCGTCAGTGGCCGTGCCTTCAGGCCCTACGCCCCAAAACTCTCTCCCTCAATCCCTCCTCCATGCCCCCTCCCTCCCCACTTTCAAATCCCACCTTGATCATGCTTAGGATCACCCCCCTCCTCCTGGAATGGTGTCAGACTCAGCCACTATCAAGCGCTCCGGGGCACTTCCCAGCGTGAAGGGCGCTATATAAATGCAAGTTGTTGTTTAGCGTAAAGTATGACTTATATAATGATTAATGCAGTTTTGGCTGTATGGAAAAGAATACAGGGCCTCAGGCTGGTTAGCAGGGTAACTGCCACTATAAAGTACCGAAGTATCGCAGTAACTGAAGGGGGTAAAATGTGATGTATCCCAATGTTGTTATGTATCTGATCAATTTAGCATCACAGTGGAGCAAGACAACATTGTTAATATTAGATGTGTAAACCAGAAACAGGCTCAATTTGAGAGGGTTACATGCAAAAAATGTTTAGACAGTTATTAATTATACATGATTTGTTTTCAAGTGCAAAACAAAAGTTTTCTGAATAGTTATTGCAGAAATCACACAGAAATTAAAGTCCAAAAGGCATAAACACAATTGAACTTCAGAGTGCCAATATCAAGAACACAAGTGATCACAAGAGGAACTGAACGAATGGACATATGACCAAAACTAAAGATAGATGTGCAATATCCTACCTGGCAGTGGAATTGGCATTCCAGGCAATGGGACACGGAAGGGAGGTACCATCACTGGTGGGAAGGATGGGATTTGCGCAGTTGGTTGTGGAATTGGGTGAGGTATAGGCTGAGCTACAGGCGGTGGCATACTCTGCTGTACAGACTGTGGCATAGACTGAATTGGCTGCTGGGATGCAGCAGTGGTCACAGTCGCAGAAACAAGCGTTGGAGTAGCCGTAGGTGGAGGTTGGTCTGGAGCTGCAGATAGTAAAGAGAAAGTAAAGCTAGCAAGCAACTATATTTAACTGACCCCACAGTTCATTACACTTTACTGTAAAATCACGGATGAGGTGACACCAGTACAGTACTGAGGGAGAGCTGCATTGTTCGAAGCACAGTCCTTTGGATGAGACATTGAACCGAGATCATGACCATCTGTTCAGGTGGCCGTTAAAGATCCCTTGATATCACTTAAAAAGAGAATGGAGTTGCTCCTGGTGTCCTGGCCAACAATCCCCCAGATTAAATTGGTCATTCACTTAATGGCAGTTTGTACGACATTGCTGTGCACAAATTGGCTGTCGCAGTTGCCTACAAAATAGTCATTGGAACTTAATAGTAAATCCTGTGAAGCACTTTGAGAAGATGTCCTGATATGAAAAGCACTGTATCGTATCCAAGGATTATTATTGTGCATGGGAAGCGGTGAGATAAGCCATGTGATGATACAAGCCAGTGTTTTAGCATCAGGAGTTCTCAATACACACAAACACTGTGCTGAGTACAAGAGTATTGGGAACAATGGACGTTTACATGACTGTCAATAGCTACACTGACGAAAAGGAAAGACAAATGTAACAAGCTGAACCATACCTTAGGGTTAAATTGCATGAAATAATATTAAAGCAAACGGCTATGCAAAACCTAATGCAAGATACTGTTTTTCTCATGTATATTGGAATTCATACTGTTACAAAATTCATGCACACTCAATATTACATTATGTAACAATTTGGACTGTTAGGTAAACAAACATTCCCTCCAGTAGACACATCCGTTGTGTCCCAAGTAAGTTTCTGTAATATTATCTTCTGGTCTCTATTACCACTCGCACAAAATTGACAATTTCTGGACACTGTTGCTGAATTACTCACATGGGCTTATTGCTGACACAGTTGCAACGTGTACAGAAGTAGTGGAAGATGCTGGGGCTGTGGCCTGCACAACAGATGAAGCTGGTGTAGAGATGGGAGGAGCGGTTGTACTTCCTGCAGGTGTACCTGTCGTGGTGATCACCTGTAAGGGCATCACCGGTGTCAGTTCAGACTGTTGTATTATCTTAACACCCTCTGGCTTCGACCAAGCAGACTCCCGTGTCCTAGCATTGTAAAAGTATACCTATGCAAGACAAAACAGTTCATTAATGTATTAACATTTATGTAAGCTGGAAATGCCCAAACACACATCTGAATACAACTACTCTATTCTATTCTGAATCTCATGCTCTTTCTCTACACCCTTTAATATTGCTCCTCTTCAAATTGTATCTAATTCTCTTTTAAATGTGATGGTCTCAGCCTAAATAAATCAGCCCATACTCTAAAAATTATCTAAGTGAAAGTTTCTTCATACCTAAACTTTTGCAGTGACACTTCTAAACTTTTGTTCCATTGCTACCATATTTTCGCCCACAAAATATACACTTTGAGCTGTCTCAAAGACATGATAAGGTGCTATATCAAATGCAATGATTATTGTTATTATTAGTAGTAGTAATATATTTACCAACCTGCAAGAATATTTTTGGGCACTTTATAGCCCCTTTAAAACTTTCAGAATTTTGAAGATTTCTTTTAGATCTCTTAATCTTTTGTTCAATGGAAAAAAATGTTTACTCCTCAAAACTATAATCCATCATTCCTGTGAATGTACGCTATATTCTTCTAATAGATCTAAAATCCTTATATATTTCAACAGTGGTCTAACATACAGTACTTATTTTTTGTTTGATGAACCTGATATTTACAGGATTGAAACACTAACACCTCACATTTTGCAAAATGTAATGCTTCTGCTGCAAGTGAACAGGGCTGTGTTTTATCCACTGCAATTAAAAACTGCATTGAGAAATGGGAATAGAGCCCAAGAATAAGTACATGGGGTTAATTTCACTAGCCTGCCAACGTGATTACAAATTTAGTTTTGTGGAAACAAATGCTAATTCGAACTTTTGATTAACTCTGGTTCAGCAAAATAAGTGGATGTATCAAAACTGCTGCCTTACATACTGTCTGTTACATTGCAGCCAGGGAGACAATTGTCAACACTGAATCATCAGCTTTTTAAGGAAAAGATGTTGAAGGAAAAATCCATCATAATAACTTCATTTTACATTTTCCCCCATTAAAAGTGTAAATTCAATGACCATTTTACATGCATTATTATACCAAATATCTCTGAATTCTGCCAATACTCACCTTTCCCTCCAGGGTTTTGTTTTCCACCCAAATCTCCTCATTACTCTGCAATCCATGTCCTGGGGCAGAAACTGGGGGCATTCCTGGCGGGAACATCATCCCTGGTGGTGGAGGCATATTGGCCATAGGAGGAGGCATAAAAGGTGGTCTCTGACAAAGAAAAGTAAATCAAGCATTGTAGGACAAGGAGTAAAAACATTCATAAAAATGTTACTGCTCTAAACTACAACACAGTAATCTTCATACTGAGCTAGAGCACCAGATTCTTTCTGGTTATACTGAGTAATGTATTCAGAGTAGCAGAAAGTAGATAATATTTGCCCCTCTGGACATTGTTAAGCTATCAATTATGTTTCATTGCAAAACATAACAATTAAAGAATGGCTTATTGACCACTACTGAGCTCTATTATAATTGATAGAGCTCTTAGTTATCCCTTAAAGCAGGAAAAAGTTGGATATTCAACTCTACTTCATCTCAGATACTATATAATAATAGAAAAGTCATAGCAACCAATGGAATTCCTCACTTGCAAAATGGGAGCATCAATTATGCCAAAAATATATTTTTAAAAACCAATTTGTTCCTCATCATAATTCTCGTTATCTAAATTACATCAATGGCAGATTTTTTTCTGCCAAGGATAAAGCCAAGGAAATCAAAAATCTAAAACTATGTACAAATATAATGAAAGCTAATAAACTTGGGATATATTTAATATATGCAAAGCAATGTGCACACACAGATGTGATATATACTGACAACATCAGGAACTGATTCTGCAACAACCTTCACAGATGTTGTAAAAAGGACATCGATGGTTTTATTTTACTGTTAATTGAGCCATTTAAGAAGTGGAAACAAAAGACTCGCCAACGTAGGTCTGGGGCCATCTGCTCGCATTAAAATTATTTCAGATATGATACCTGTTGCCAAGAACAGTATTAATAATGCAACACTAAAACAGGTGCACCTTTTAAATATCACAAACCTAAAAAAATCATAAGTGGATACGTGCTTTATGTGACCAACTTAGGCCCTTTTTTTATTTTGAAAACATGGTTTAGTGTGTGATCAGCTGTTTAGTGAACACCAGATTTTGACAAGCAAAACAACAGATAAAATCGCAACAAACATGCTACAAGAGTGAATCTATTGTACGCCACACTCTTTCACCACAGAGGCCAATCAAAGCTAATGAGAGCCATAGAGCCCAACAGAGCTTATTTTCAGTCCAAATGCTCAAAAACATATTAAATTTGTTATAATCTGCTTGGAACAAGCTACATAGTATAAAACCCTACCATTTACTATTTTGAACATAGTTCATTTTAGTACATCTCCAGTTCAAAATTACCAGCAACTAAAATCCTGACCACATACCTTCAAAGGACTTCAATTTTATTACAAAACGTATGGTGCCCTCCAGCTCTCAATAGACTGCTCAGTGAGGTCACGGGCTGAATCTAAGACAGATAGTCTCCTGGTTATCCATCACATTATTCAATGGAACAGGTAAATATTAACCTTCTGAGCTCAAGACCACACATCCTGGCACTCTCAGGTTACCAGGGATGCCGTTAATATACTCATTGGCATTTCTCTTTGTCCCTTTGAATGGTTTTACATGCCAGTGATTAACCTGCTTCCACATTCCAATTATTAGTGTTTGGCCAATTGATTTTGCTTATAAAAACACAACAGTTTTCAATCAATCAAACTTTTTTTTCAACAAAATTTCCCCCACATCCAAAATAGGTTGTAGTGGCAAGAAGGAAAGAGGCAAGTTGTAAGTTGTTTTGTAGAAGGAAAACAATGTTATAATAATAGAATAAAGAATACTTAAATAGTTCTCTCAACAGCTCACTGGGTAATGGAAAACCTTCCAGTGCAGCCCTGGGGCACATAGGTAAATGAAGATCACAGTTTCAAGCCACAGTCTGTGCTGAGTTAGCTAATCTCAGCCAAGGAGCAGTTGGGGCACGAGAACTAGCATCAGTGTTCTACAGTGAGGGAGGGTAAGATTATCCAAGGATCCCATTTCTGCTAGCTACCCTAGAGAACACTGCTGGACCTCATGTCTGAGGTCAGGATTGGCTGAGGACTAATACGGCTGCCGACACTCACAAATCACATATGGATCGGGGCCCTGAAGAAAACTGGCACCCAATCAATTGTACTGCATGAGAAGAGAAAAAAAGACTCAAAATACTTTCAGGAGAGAAAGTCAAGAAGGGAGAAAATGTAAAAATCCTTAAAAAAACAATAAAGATGGAGGAATAATTGGAAGAAAAATGGTACACGAGGAGGAGTATAAGTAAGGTGACTTTTAAAATCTATTTCTTAGAATCAATAGTACATCAACAAAACCATTTCTAGCATTATAGTAGCTTCATTAATGTAATATTTCCATTGTTTACAGCATGTGCAAGTTGCATGGCCCAGGGAGACCTTCAACCTGCCAGCAGTCTAACTAAAAGGTTAAAGCAGTTGATGTAGCAGTTAGTAATAGATTAATTAAGCATTCATCTCAACTGTGGATTTTGCTCCCATGCAGTGCAATTCCTGTATTCCAGTACTTCCATAATATGAAATGGGGCAATGGAGGGGGAGGTGGAGAGCGAGGCGTATTTTGGTCAGCTGGGTGTCCAATATATGGAAACCCATCTCCATGCTTATGACTATCCAAACAGACAGAGTTCCACGTATGTATGCCACCCACACATGGAAATTCTCCTGGGAATGGAACACACTGTCCACCTGGGTATTCTGTTTACCTGATTTTAGACGGTATTATGTGCAGGATGCCAAGAACCAATACTTGGAGACCCCCAGAGTGTGTGTCGGGGTGCAGGATTTACAGGAGCTGAGTGAGAAAAAAAAACCTTTGGTCCCATTGACTGGTCTGCCCCTCTTTGTCCCGCTGATGAGTCAAGCTGGTCTGTAGTCAGCAGTGCCCTGAATACTGCAGGCTGGCCTGGCTCAGGAAGCAAGCTGCTAAGTCCACCACAGAGGATTGGCGCGATTGTGATATTGCTAACATACCACTTTGAAGCCAGCTCAGCAAAAAGGAGACCCCAATTACCTCACACACCCTCCAGAAGGCGAGAAAGTGAGAAGAAGAAGGCACCTATAGTGAAATATATGTAACGTTGTGGTTAGTGCACTCGTCTCGCAAGCGAGAGGACCTGAGTTCGATTCCCTGGCAGGCGAAACGTTGGGCAAGTTTCCTTACTCCACACACCTCTGTTTACATTGCACTTGTTAGTCGTTGGCGGATCGCTTTTCTGGGGGTAATAGTCCCTTCAAAATAAATAAAAATAATTTGGTCATTCAATCCATGACTGTCTGTGGGACACTTCTGTGCGCCATTGGCTGCCAGTTTTCGTCCACAAAATACACAGTCAATTCACTTTACAGTATATTCTGTGAAGCGTTTTAAGACGTCTAGAAGACATGATAAGGCGCTATACCAAATGCAAGGATTATTATTATTACCTATGATACAGATTGCTTTGTAACCTATTAAGATCACATTAAACTGTCTCCAAATTGGTCCAAGGTTAAAGCCATCCTCTGAGGTTGTACGTATGTGTGCATGCACAGAGAAGGCAAGAGTGAAACCAATTGAGAGAATGCGATGTGGCTGTAGTTTTCAAAACAAGTCATATTGTTGCAAACCCGGATCTGTGATAGCATCCAGTATAAGCAGGATATGAGAAAGATACAGGCCTTAATAATCACAATAATCTTTGCATTCGATATAGTGCCTTTCAAGATACGAGGACATCTAAACGTGCTGCCAAGGATGTTACTGTAAAATGCAATGATTGTGTATTTTTTTTGTTGACAAAGATGGCAGCCAATTTGAACACAGAAATGTCCCACAAACTGCCTGGAAGCAAATCACCAACTTTATTTAGGGGTTGTTGGACAGGACACTAGGAGAAACTCCGTTCTACTTCCAAAAGACCATAAATTACATATGAACTCTGGAAAACATTGCAACCCAGTACAATGTCACCACATGGTTTGTCGCCATGCAAATCATTAAAAAATTCAATCAAATGCCTTAAATATTAAGTATGGATCAAGTTGGCATAAACGTGATTGATAAGTTATATGCACTAGGAAAGTGCAAATTAGATGAACAAGCAGCAAAATGCAAAATCTATTCCAAAGGCAAAAAATCTGAGCTAGTGTTTTCCATAGTTCTTACCTGTAAGTGTGGTGGGCCCATGGGTGGTGGGATTCCCCCAGGAGGTGGTGGAATTGGTGGCATATTGGGGTCAAATGGTGGTCGCCCAAAAGGAGGTCGTGGTGGGGGTACTCTCATCATTGCAAATGGCGGAGGTGGTGGGCGTACATGAAGGGGTGGTGGTCCTCTCAGCATAGTATTGGATGGTGGAGTTGGCCCACGAAATCGTAATGGCTGCTGTGCCATCCTATGAATAAGATTAAAATATACGTTAGCAATACTAGGAACTCTGATAATGACATTACATACAGTTAGAATGTTTGTGCTCTCATTTAAGAAATCAGCCTCCTTAGTACGCTATAGCAAAACCTACTGCCTGCTGCTTCTTCATCAAGTTTGAGTATGGAAAAGTCACAGGAAAATAATTCAGTAGGCACATGCTGTTTATTGGTCTAAGAAGCAGAATACAACAAACTGCCAAGAATGAAACAGTGTAGTTTGACTAAGAGATACTACATTGCACATTTTACAGGATAAGGTAAGTTGTTGCGAGCATCTAATGAGTTTGTATGTACATCAAACAGCATACATTTACTATTTTCCCCTTTTGAAGTTTCTTTGCTAGGTTTATTTCACAATGTCAACAAACCTAACTATTATTCATTCTTGCATTTTGCCCACTAAATATATTGTCAATTCACTTTGAGAGCCGTATCGAAGATGTAATAAGGTGCTATATCAAATGCAAGGATTAATAGTATAGCTGCTTTTGTTGCCGGTAAGTGGTAATGAAACTGCTTCCATATTTGAATCAGTTGTATCGAAACGTCAATTGCTGTCTCATTATCAACTTTTTATGGCTGCACTCTTCACCTCACCAATACGAAAGTTCGATGTCCTTTTCAACCCTCAGCTATCCTTCAAACCACACATTCCGTCTTTCCCCAACTTCACATTGTCCGCCTCCGCCACTGTCTCTCTCCACAGGCCACTGAGACACTGATCCACGCTTTCATCACGTCCTGGTTTGACTACGCCAACTGCCTGCTCGCTGGACTTCCAATTCTTCCCTCCACAAGATGCAGATTATTCAGAATTCTGCAGCTTGCATCCTCTCCCACACCAGGCTCCACAAACCAAACACCCCCGTTCTTGCCCAGCTTCACTCCCTCAGCGAACACTGGCCTGCTTCTGATCCCTTGCATTTCCCACCCCACCATTGGTGGTCAGGCAGTCAGCATCTCTACCCCCACACTCTGGAACTGTATCCTGCAAATCCTCCGTCTCACCCCCTCTCTTACCTCCTTCAAGTCCCATCAATAGACCTTCCTCTTTGTCCGTCCCTTCAGCCAACCTCACACCCCACCTGATTCCCAACTCAGGTCCAAAAAACGCTTCGCGCTTGGACGTCATTCTGACGTGAAGTGCGCTATACAAGTGTAATTTGTTGTTGTCTTTTCTTGAACTTAATCCATTTTCTTTTAGTAAATAAAAACAAAAAACAAAGCATTCAGCATTTGTTGTTTCCTCTCCTTTAAAAAAAATTTCTTCTGCGACTACTTTTACCATCAATGTAATTATTTTCTTCTCATATAGCTGTCATTCTTTCCTTATTCTTAACAAAAAAATATAATTCATAAAAGAGTTGAATGGTTATAAAGTATTAATTTATTGAAGATGGCAAAGAAAAATAATGATGATTTACAAAGTACAACAAACTAACACATCCATTGGTATCGAATTCAATTAATAGAAAAATTCAACATTAGATACTGCAACAGGTGGAGCACCTAATGTTGAATACTCCATCGTATAACTGATTCAACATGAAATGATGGACTAAATTTGAACTCTTTTCTTATACACTGCCAGTTTAAACACAACTGGAAGTGAAACTATAAAGATGAGGCAAATATCAACTTCACAGAAATAGCAATATTTTTGCCATTTATTCCCAGAGGATTAGTACTGGATTTCAGTTCCACAGTCCCCACCACCTATGTTACAGCAAATCTGAGCTGGCTGCCTTCTATGCATAGATTTAACTTAAATGCTAAATGGAAAACACATTATGTAAAAAACCTCTACAAGGCAACTGGGCTCCAGCACACATTAAACCAGACTTGTACTGAGACCTATAGTTCCACAAGTGTAAAAATTTCATGTCTGTTATTATGCCTCGATATAATCCAATTGTCTTTTTTTGGGGCAATAAGAAAAACAATAATTATTTTCCCCAGTGTGAGTTGTATTTTCTTTTTTTCCCCCTTCTGGGTCCAGACCCAACTGTCCAGCGCCTTGGGACGTCCTCCCGACGTGAAAGGCGCTCTATAAATGGAATCTTGTTGTTGTTGCTCTCCACACACCATATACCTCAAGATGTGCGCAAACAATCAGCTTCAAAGTCTCTGGTGTTACAGGATGCCTAAAAGTTTCCCAAGGTGACTTACCAGTCTTTCAGTGAGAAAGCGTTTAGCCTCCACAAGGTATAGTCAAACTCACATCATGGTATCAAACAAATCTGATGTATTTTATTTTCTGAAAAAATAGGGTGTAAAGAAGAGCAGCCTAAATAGTAAAACACTCAATGGAGGAGAACAATGAATAAAGGAAAAAATGAGCCAAGAATAGAAAGCCATCAAGAAAACAAATAGGATTCAGAGCTTGATAAACCAGGGCATTGAATGCAACAATAGATAAGTTATGCTGCAATTGTATAGGATATTAGTTAGACCACAGTTGGAATTTTGGGTTCAGTTTTGGCTCCATTACAGAAGAGCTGCAGCGTAGATTTACTAGGATGATGCTAAATTTTATATAATACTATGTGACTGTGAAGGGAAACTGACTAAAACTCTTTTTTCCCCAGCAAAGCAGAGGATATTGAGATGGCATAAGAGAACACTCAAGATATTGAAGGGGCACAACAGGGTTTATAATATTAATAATTAATCTTAATCCTTGCATTTGATACACCGCCTTATCACGCCTTTGGGAAATCTCAAAGCGCTTCACAGAATATACTGTAAAGTGTAGTGACTGTGTGTTTTGTGGGCGAAATGCAGCAATCAATTGTACACAGCAGTGTCCCACAAACAGTTGTGGATTGATTGACCAATTTATTATTTTTGAAGGAATTATTACCCACGGAAAAGCGATCCGCCAATCGACTAACACCGGGTTCCTACTGACTGCTATGTGCATGTAAAGAGAGACGTGTGGAGTAAGGAAACTTGACCAACGTTTCGCCCTGCCCGGGAATCGAACCCAAGTATCTCGTCTGCGAGTGCTCTGGGGTCATTAAGGTCTGGAATTCATTACCTCGAGTGGCTAATGAGGCCGGATCAACAGAATCTTTCAAAGGGGAACTGGGTAAATATCTGAGCGGTAAACACATTATGGGATGGGGAAAGAGAGCGAACAAAAGAGAGTTTGCACCTGCAGAAGACAGGAAGTAAAAAGGTATTTTAGGATGCAGTGGACGGATGAGCGGGCGGGCGGGCGGGGGAGGGGGGGCGGGAGAAGGAGACGTTACAAAACACTGACATTGTACCTGTATTGAAGATAGAAAATCATAATCTATTCCCTCTAATAATTATTTAAAATTCGCCTTCCTTTTTTGAAACTTTTGAAACAAATCAATTCTCAGTATGGGGGGGGGGTTAGTGGGGGGGGGGTTAGTGGGGGGGGGGTTAGTGGGGGCGGGGGGTTAGTGGGGGGGGGGTTAGTGGGGGGGGGTTAGTGGGGGGGGGTTAGTGGGGGGGGGGTTAGTGGGGGGGGGGTTAGTGGGGGGGGGGTTAGTGGGGGGGGGGTTAGTGGGGGGGGGGTTAGTGGGGGGGGGTTAGTGGGGGGGGGGGTTAGTGAGGGGGGGTTAGTGGGGGGGGGTTAGTGGGGGGGGGTTAGTGAGGGGGGTTAGTGTGGGGGGGGTTAGTGGGGGGGGGGTTAGTGGGGGGGGAATAAAACCTGATGTTTTCCAAATTGTGATAACTTCTCTATTTTTTAACTAAAGTCGTAAATAATAAAGTTTGAGGTGTGTACGTGGGGGGAGAGGGGGAGAGCTTTCCTTCTGGACAAACAGAAGGGAGGCACAAGGGGAGTGATTTGTTTTATTGTGGGGGGGGGGGAGACTGAGGCCCAGGATCCAGGGCCCAGGTGGTGCTGTCGGGGCGAGTTGGAGCCCATTCACCCGTTGCAGACGGCGATGGCGGTGCAAGGCCCGAGAGCCTGGAGCTCGATTTCAGGCGCCGAAAGCGACAGGAAGAAAGGAGCGGCGAGAGGGGGCGATGTGGGGCGTCGTTCCCACCTCTGGCGCTTTACCACCTACCGTCCCGGGTTGGCGGTGTCGCCGCCCGCCTTGGCCTGCTCGGTCCCGCCGTCGCCTTGCGCCTGGCCCGGGTGCAGCATGCTGCCATCCTGCAGGAGCAGCCCGACGTCAGCCATCATGGGGGGAAGAGACTGGCCGAGGGGGCGGCTGCACCCTAACCTGCTGCCTGGCCTCGACCCGCAACGCCCGCCCACCCCATTCACATCTCTCGTCCCCCATTGGTCCGTTTCGCTGTCACTCGCTGTCAGACGCTGAGCTCACCCCGCCCCTTTCGCCGTTGCAAGCGAGTTTGGTTGCATCGCAGAAAGCCACGCAATTCAGCTTCCAGGGTCCGCCTTCTGTGCTCCCCTCCCCCACTGCTGCTCGCTGGAGAGAGCAGCTCAAGTGTTTGCTCTCTGTTTGGGGGGTAGTTTTCCACCCATTAGTCCCTTCTCCACGAAGCTGGAGCCAACTAAAGCTCATTGCACAGCTCCCCGTCCTCAGGGAGCGGCGGTTATTGGTGACAAAAGAGTGAGATGCATTATCGGTAATGAGCCTTGCATTTGATACGGTACCCGTACGTCAAACCCATCGCAGCAAGCCGAAGCGCTTCACGGGGTTTGCTGTAAAGTGACTGTGTACTTGTAGGCAAACGCGGCAGTCAACTTGTGCACAGCAGTGCCCCACAAGCAGCCGTACTTCGAATTTTATCTGTGGGGGATTGTTCATCAACACAAGAGGCGAAACTCCCTTCTCTTTTCAAAAAGTGCCACATGTAGTTGAACAGGCAAACGGGACTTCAGTTTCAGCCATACTCACTGCGAGACATGGTAATTTTAGATGGGAAAGGTCTCCCTTGCCTCATCTGACGAGCTGCCTTGCTCAGTTTATGATCTCCAGTGGACAGCCTCTGGCAACACAGCACTTCCCCAGCGCTGCATTAGAACATCAGCCGAGACTGAGTTGTAAGTCCCAACAGAGGGCTTGAACCCACATCCTTCTGATTCAAAGGCAACCGTGCTACCAACTGAGTCAGGCTGACAGATTACAAGTCTATTTGAAAATTTGGCATATTGATCCTGTAATTTGCACACCTATTTGAATAGTTGGACAATCAGTGAAGGATTACAACAACAACAACAAGATTCCATTTATAAAGCGCCTTTCACGTCAGGAGGACGTCCCAAGGCGCTGCACAGTTGGGTCATGACCCGAGCAGGGGGGAAATGGTCAGGGTGAGGGGAGGGAAGGGAGGGAGCGAGGAGGGGGGAAATGGTCAGGGTGAGGGGAGGGAAGGGAGGGAGCGAGGAGCGGGGAAATGGTCAGGGTGAGGGGAGGGAAGGGAGGGAGCGAGGAGGGGGAAGAGAGTCGAGAGGGGAGCTGAAGGCTCGGTCAAAGAGAAAGGGTTTGAGACCGGCCTTGAAGGAGGAAAGGGAGGAAGCGGCGAAGGCACTGGGGGATGGAGTTCCAGAGCCTGGGGGCTGAGAGGCTGAAGGCCCGACCACCGATGGTAGGGCGGTTGGGGCGGGGACGTGGAGCAGACCGGAGGCCAGAGGAGCGGAGGGTACGGGCAGGTAGTAGGGGGATAGTAGGTTGGAGAGGTAGGAGGGAGCAAGGCCGTGAATGGCCTTGTAGGTGAGGATGAGGATCTTGAAATCAATCCTCTGGGGGATGGGGAGCCAGTGGAGGCGAGGATTATAAGACAATTTCAATATAAACTCATCTGGTGACAGATTGCAAAACCGTTTGAATATTTTTGACCTCTGATTACTTTTTCCTCATTTACTGAGTAACATCAACATATTCTCCAAGTAGCTCAAGTGGTCAAGCACTGGACTTGGAACTGGAAGGTTTCTGGTTTGAATCCCAGAGGTCCCACTCAACTTTGACATTTTTTAGGTTAATCAAATGTCTAAAAGTTATTCTCTTTGAAATGTAGACGTGCAACAACAACAATGACAACATCTTGCATTTATATGGTGCCCTTCAGGTAGGGCGGTGTCTCAGAACGCTTAACAATGGGGAAACTTGACGTCAACCCGGGGAAAGGGAGGGGGTGACCGTAAGCATGGTCGAAGAGGAAAATCATGATCTAAAAGAGGGGAAGGCATGATGGAGGGATAGCTTAAACTGCGTCCGCTGATGGGGAACGGAAGGGATGAGGGACAAGCAGAAGGCCAAAGCCAGCTGAGAAGAGGCAGCGGTTAGTAGAGTGGGGAGACAGCAGGTCAGAAAGGTATGAAGGTGCCAGGGCATGACGGGATTTGTAGATTAATGAGAGGATCTTGAAATCGACCTCAAAGTCCTAGAAGCACAGAGTTATCACTGGCAAAGTATTATGTTAGAGCCATATAAACCTAGTTTAGGCTATTCAGCTCATCATGTCTCTGTTGGCTTTTTGAATGACTTGATAATGGAATGTCAGAATCAAGGAATCAAGTCAATCTTCTATGATAGTCTTGGATGTAGTTGGACAGTGCACCAGGAAGCTTATCAGATAGTGTTCCCAATAGCAAACTATGTAGTTTTAGTTGGTTAAACTCCAATAATATCCTCTGAGTTCTCCAAGCCTTGACGCTTGCCAAATTGCACCTAACACTCTCCAGAATTAGATAAGCAAGGCTCATCCCTCGAGGGAGAGAGTATGCATTCCATTCCAGATACAGGAAATTCTCATGGGCTGGTGGCATACATATGTGGAACCCTAATCGAATTTCGATAATAATAATAATCCTTGCATTTGATATAGTGCCTTATCACATCTTTGAGACGTCTCAAAGCACTTCACAGAATATACCGTGAAGTGAATTGACTGTATATTTTGTGAGTGAAACGCGGCAGACAATTGTCTACAGCAGTGTCCCATAAATAGTCGTGGATTGAGTGACAATTTTTTTTTAAGGAGTTATTACCCCTGGAAAAGTGATCCGTCAATCAAGTAACAACTGGTTTGATATGCTTAAGCATGGTGATGGGCTTCCGAATGTGTCAGACACCTTCCTGACCAAAAATAAATCAGTCCTATTTGCCATTTCCCCATAACCCTGCAAATTACTTTTTCAAAAATAATCTTTGAAACAAAATGATTGAGACTTGACACATCTCTAGATGTTTCTTAAGCACTAAATCTCATTCAGTAAGAAATTAAGTCAAAGCACTGTGAGACATCCTCCCAATGTAAAAGGCATTATATGATGTAAATTTTATAATAAATTGCATTGGAAATACACTCAATTCAATCTTTCAGAAGATATGTATCATTTTACACCAATACAAAATAAATGGCAAGACTTGAAATATTTTTTTCCTCATCTGTTAGACCAGTGAAAATCTGCTGCAGATTTTAATAAATCCACAGAGATGTTTTTGTGAAATTTGTGGGGATATTAAGTGAAATGTGAGAAAGATGTTTCCCACACTAATTGTATTAACATCAATAAAACTGTGATACCATATGGTGGCTCTAATCAAAAGCGTGAAAAACACATTTTACACTTGTCACAAGCAACAAGTACACCAGACCTCATGTTTACAATTCAGTGAAACAATTAACTATCCTCAGAACATTTTTAGCAGTATCAGCAGTAACCTGTAAGTAATATATCTTCATTAACAGATGAATTACTGTCTTTCCTGTATTTTCTGCCTAAATAATAAATTTCTAACAATTGATGAAAACTGTGGATTTTCCAGGGTTGTAGTGTTTAGACATTTGAAAGTTCTTTGTGAACAAGACATTAATTGTTTGCAGAAAACATGGCGAAGATGATATTATGATGAACATGTTAATATGGTTTCAGACAATTTTTGTCTAATTTATCTGATAACAATTTATAGACTTCAAGATTTGGAAACAGAAATACTCCATGGATGAGATTGAACTTTCCAAGGGGAAAGCTAAAAGAGATTGAGCGGTGTTAGTTGACTCATTGCTCATTTATGTTAAAACAGTCAAAAGGTTGTGGATTCAAGCCCCACATCGAGATTTGGAATCACATATTCAGCACCTTGGGACGTCCTCCCAACATGAAAGCTGCTCTATAAATGTAATTTTGTTGTTGTTGTTGACATTCAATGTAGTGCTGGTGGGTGTTGGATTGTTGGAGCTGCCATCCTTTGGATGAGATATTAAACCAATCACTCCATGGGTGTTTGTGGGATGTTGCTGCGTGCAAACTAACTGGTGAGTTTTGCCCATAAAATACATGATCAATCTACTTTTCAGTATATCCTATGAAGCACTTTGAGAAATCTCGATAATGTGATAAAGCACTATATCAAATGCAAGGATATATATAAAATATATGTCTTACTCATGCTGTACAGTACTCTGGTCAGTTGCACCTTGAATACTGCATACAGTTCTGATCATTAAACCGTAATGCCAGGCCTTAGCAGTAGAGCAGAGGAGAGCAATGAGGAAGATCTCCAGTGTTAGAGGAATGAGTTATGAACAACAGTTAGACAAGCTAGGCCTCTTCAGTTTTGAGAAAAGAAGACTGAGAGGGGATCTCATAGAGGCACACAAAAGTGACTTAAAAAAGGAAATCCAGATCAATACTTCATGATGAATCAGGAGAGTAAAACAAGAGGACATAAGTTTAAAATTGTAAAGAGCAATTTCAGGATAGGAGAAAGTTTTTCTTTACGCAGAGGATAATCAATGACAGGAAAGGTAGTTGAGGCCAGGACACTAGACTCCTTTAAAACCTTTAAAGCCCTCCATGGTCTTGCTCCACCCTACCTCTGTGATCTACTAAAACTTCACCAAACTGTCCATTCCCTCCTTCATTCCCCTCGCCCTCCACCCTGCTCGGATCCCAACCCACAGCTTGGAGTGCAAACCCCTCATTGTCCAGCGCCTTGGATGTCCTCCCAATGTGAAAGGCAATTTGTTGTTGTTGTTGTAGCTCTTGATACAGTGATAAGGGGATGGTAGGGTGGGTGTTCTGGTGGGATGAGATTGGATTGATCAAAGGGCCTTCTTCATCCAGATCAATCTTGGGACCTTGTAAACCAAATTCAAATTTCCAAACGCTGTCAAATATGCCCTCAGTTTCTTTGGAGATGAAACAAAAGTCCTAAGCAAACCTTTCCTTATAGTTCTGTTCCTTGACTTCTGGAATGAATCTTGTAGCCCTTCACTGTACCTCCT